TTTAGTGACATGCGGACAGTCCAGTACGGACCCGCTCCGCACGGCCAATCTGTATGAACTTCTAGGGAGCAGCATTTTAGAGTAATGCGGTCCGGAGGAACCGCTCCGCTCCCTAGCAGTTCATACAGATCGGCTGTGCGGAGCGATCCGCACAGACAGTCTGCGTGATACTAAAACCAGCCATATTGGTGGTAAATAAATAATAAATAATAAATAATAAATAATAAATAAATCTTTGGACAATTTCACACAGCGCCAGCTAGCCCCAAAGTAAGCAACTTAATGCTTGTGTTATGGGTGCTAGCTTAACGGATATACTACTTATATACTTTTTTTTTTTAAATACATAAATATTATACATAGTCACACCCAGACCCGTCACAGAAATTAAAATTCATCATATCAATTTCTGCCCGGCCGGGAATCGAACCCGGGACCTCTCGGCATAGTAGTCCGTTCTGAACCACTACACCAAACGGCCGACTTATCCCTTCAAGTACCAATGAAAGTGAAATATAAATTCGAATTTCTTGCTTACATACTAAGTAATTGATAAATGACACAATAGAAATCAATTGTTACAGTCTCATGCGACCACGGCCCAGAACAGACGGTGAAACGCAACTGCAACGAAACTGCAACTGCTAGTTTATTTTGAGTTGCATCTAAGTTTCTGCCATAGCGTCCGTTTAGAGACCACACATGACGCGACCAGTTTGAAACTTTCAGTTTCAGTTTCTTTCATCAGAATCATCAGAAAGTTTCAGTTGCGTTTCACTGTCTGTTCTGGGGCTAAGGGTTTATTTATTTATCAATTAATTTGGTTATTAGCAACATACTAAATAATTATGCATCATAATTATAAACCCTGTAAGGGTGTGGCAATAATTATTATTATTAACTAAACATAAGTGCTTAAATAATTAATTATTTAGCCTTAAAATTTAACCCAAGAGTTAAGATGACATAATTCATAAAAACCTACTAAAACATGTTTTTTCATCTGAGCGAAACCAGCGATTAAACTCTTAGCGCCACCTGTTGGTTTCATAGTTTCAAGTGAGTAGGACTGAAAGGCTATCTTTTGCACTGTAATGTGTTAAAATAATGTAATTCTCAAATAAAAAATAATACGAAATCGTTATTTTCCATGTTATGCGAATATAATGTGAAGACCTAAAGGATTGAAGCTGGAAAGTCGTCACAAAAATTCCAAAATCAAACGTAAACTAAAAAACAAATGTTTTAATATGAAATGTTATAATTATGTAATGAACCTAACTAATAACAATAGGTGTAAGTAGTTTTCCGATTAAAAATAAATAAAATATTCACTATGGATAAATTAGTTTTATGAAATTTTGGCGTACCTAGACAACTAGACTAAACTGGACCTTGTATAAAAATAACAAAGGCATGAACTCGAAACCAGGCATTTTAGATATCATTATGTAAATTTTTTGTAATAATCTTATCGACTTATCGATACTTGTATTAATTTCATTAAATTCATTAAAGTTATTCAAATCGCAGTTTGATTAATACATATAAATCAAAATGTAGCTAGAGGATGGCATAATCAATAAAATTCTACAATTATTATAACATCGCATGAAAATAACTTTTAGAAAAGGTATTTTTCATGAACACCACCAGCGATGGAACTCTTAGCGCCATCTGTTGGTTTCATAGTTTCAAGTAAGTAGGATTGAAATTGAAAGGCTGTCTTTTGCACTGTAATGTGTTAAAATAATGTGATTCTCTTTACAAAAAATAATACAAAACCGTTATTTTCCATATTATGCGAAAATAGACTGTCTTTGTAACCTTTTTACAAGCTTTTCTCTACTTTCAAATGTCTGTACCTCTAGTAGGAAAAACTTTCGAGTTCGTTTCGTTGCGTATTCAAAGTGTCATCGAAAAATTTTGTATGAAAAATTAAACAGCGCCCCCTAGGGCGGCTATAATATAGGGGGCGCTGTTTAATTTTTAATACAAAATTTTTCGATGACACTTTGAATACGCAACGAAACGAACTCGAAAGTTTTTCCTACTAGAGGTACTGGTGTAGGTGTCGTCAAATCTTGCAACTTCAAATTGACCCACTTCCCGACTTTCCATTGAACTGAAATTTTATATGCATGTGTAAGTCGAATGACTATGCAATATTATGATGACATGGAGCTGATCTGATGATGGAGCTGGAAGGCAGCCACAGGAACTCCGCAATAAAACGACACAACCCCATTGTGTTCGGACTCGTTTGATACGTATTGACAAGTACTTACTTCCAATCTTACCAGGTAACCAACGTGCAAGATGAGCTGGAAGGTGGTCATAGATAAGTTATGTCGCAATAGACCGTAATATAAAAATTTTAAAATAAAAAAGATTGTCTTCCACATTGGTTTCATTAAAAATACAAAGTAGATACCTTTTATTTATTATCCTATTGATACTAAAAATGTGAAATATTTCAAGATGGATAAAAATGCTGAATCATTTTAATTAATTTCAGCGGAGACAAGGATTGGTCGTTGAAGAAGTACCACGGCTGAATGCATCAACATAGCAAAATTAAAACGAATATTGGTCATTAATTTATGAGCATCATACCTATATCATGAAAGCAATAATTTATCTTAACAAAGACGAAATAAAGCCAGCGATGGAACTACTAACGCCATCTGTCTTCACAGTTTGCGTAGGACTGGTGGGACTGGAAAACTATTTTTAACAATTTCAGGGAAACTGGACAGTAAAACAATTATTCAGTCTAATGTTTTTACAAATTAAAAAAGCTCATTTACAGAAAATTACAATTACCTGAATATTTTGAGTAACTTTAAGGTACAAAGTCAGTGCGCAATTTCATATTTTTTTGTTCAAAGTTACCTTAAAAAATATCCAAGTTTGGGTAACTTTGATATTTTTTAAGGTAACTTTGTAAAGAAACAAAGATCGAATTTTAATTTTCTAGTAACTATCTGAGATAGAATCACGACGAAGATGTTTAAGGCTGAGTTACCCCATCTAACTTTGACCATAACTATAACGATAACCGGTGATTTTGTATGGAGTTTGACAGATTTTTGACGTTTGTCAAAGTTATTATTGCTGCAATCCAGATTAATTAACTGACTTGGACTAGAGTGGAGAAGAAAATCATTTCGTAGTTTCTTCTTTTAATATGTCCCTGATTACTCTAAGACGTATAATTTCTATATTAATGCCATTTATTCAGCAATATTTCAGCTAATTCACCAGTTTAACCAAAATACTGAAAATACAATGTAGTTACCACAATTATTATTATTTTAGAACTATAAATAATTTAATAACAGAGTCAAATTGTCATTCATAACTTGAGGCGTCGATATTATCTTCGTGAGTTAACCGCCTCTGTGGTCTAGTGGTAAGACCACCTGCTTCAGACGCAGAGGTCCCGGGTTCGATTCCCAGTGGGGGAAGATTCTTCTGTTCGGTTTGGTTGGTGGTATTGCTTGTTCTAAGTCCGCCTGGCTAGCTACCACCATCTTATCTAAGTCTGTCGCCATAACAACAATGTTAACAGCATTGTTGTGTTCCGGCAGTTAGAGGTAAGGTAGCCAGTTCCTCCGTGGTTGTGGATTCCGGGTGAAGATCGCTTCCACCTTCGGTCTGATCGTCACTTACCATCAGGTGAGATACCAGACCAAGAGCTTCCTCGTTGTGGATAAAAAAACTAATATAAACGATTCTTTATTCAGGCGTTATAGTAGGTAATTAATTAGGTATTGCAAAAAAACTATAAGTGCTCACCTCACCAGAATGAGAAAATAGGTACAACAAGAGTTGTAAATCAGGAAAAGTCAGTAATAAGTAATAATATCTAAATAGGTTTAAGGAAATTATAGGTTACAAATGGTGAAATAGTTTTTCAAATCGGTCCTGTAGTTTCGGAGTCTATTCTATGCAATCAAACAAACAATTCAATATTTCCTCTCTAAAAATATGGCATTGAAAACTCGTGAAAACGTAATGATACAAAGCCTGAAAATCAGCAATGAGTCTCTCACCGCCATCTATTGAGTTTGCGGATATTTAAGTTCTACTGAAAGGCTGTCAGTTTTGGGTGCGTTCAAGTTACTAAAAATGTACTGAAGTTTTATAACGAATCGGTGTTGGTTTTCACGGTAACGTTATCGAAATAACCCTATAGCGTTGTTCGTTATAACGAAAATAAATTATAACTTAGCGTGATAATAATTTTTCCTTCTTTATTACGAGTACAATGCATTTCATATTATGTAATAGGTAAAAATAATATTGTATTCAACCCTCCAACCCAAGGGTTGAGGTTGGAGGAGGGTTTCCGAGCAAAATGCATTAGTTTTATTTCATACTAGCTGACCCGGCGAACTTTGTTCCGCCTTAACGGCAATAAATAAGCAGACTTTTTTTTATTTCGAACGGGATAAAAAGTATCCTATGTCCTTCTCCTGGCTCTAAACTACCTCCCTGACAATTTTCAGCTAAATCGGTTCAGCCGTTCTTGAGTTATAAGCGAAGTAACTAACACGACTTTCTTTTATATATATAGATTAGATGCAATAGGTACCTACTTCTGTTTTTTAATTTGACGCCAGCATTATGCAATATTACAGAGGCGATGCAACATAACCCCATTGAAAACTATGATTTAAATGTTACTTAACACATTGTGGTATAAAATCAATTTCCAAATCTTACAGTAGACCAGGTATTAAACATTTTTTTATGCATTATATCAGTATTTTTAGGAAATTAATACTAGCTAGATGAAGGCCGTTTAAACCAGCCAATCTGAAAATCATTGGAGGATACCTATGTTCAATTGTTCAGCTGTAGACGCCTATTAGTCCTCATTATACGTAGCGTTACGACTGTAATAACTAATTAATTAGTACTGACATAAATAAAACATAGCAATAACAGTTACAATTTTTATTTCATATAATTCCCAGGGTCGTGCTCTTTGGATGTCTATCTAAATAGGGCAACACAGCTTATAGCAAACAAGTAATACTCAAATGTATATAAATATACACTATTACAACAAATTACAATGTTGTAAATATAACGATTGCTTCACACAGTTTTTCTCAAAATATCTACAAAATTTTTTGACTAAAACAATAAATTATCTCAAACGATTCCACTAAACCTTATCAACGTGTGAAACAATAAAAAAGCATGGAAAATAAAATAGAAACAAAAACTTAACATTGTGGTAACTCGACTACACCAAAAACGATGTCGATTCACAAAATAAATAAAATGCATAGAAATAAACTTAAAACACAAATCAAATTAGCTTCTTACGCGCGCTGTTCCTTCGATTTAATATTATCCTGAAATAGAAACGTTAAATTACAATCTGAAAGTGAAGTCGCTCAGCTATCGACAATGCTATCGCCAAGCAAAGTAAATGGGTACCCAGAATTCGCCGTGGCCAGAACTCGAATGCAACTTACATCGGCCAAGTCAAGCTTGGACATGGCATCGAAGCTCAAACTGTGCATCAGTCTTGTCGAGACGGTCGTCTTCTGTAAGTGAGAGACTTCCTCGGAGAAGCGCTGTACGACCTGACTCCAGCGTAGAACTTCCCCTTCTGAGTGATCACCTCAAGCCTCGCAGAAGCCTCAACTCTGCCCAAATCGTTTTCCAATGTTATTCTGTACACGCCAACGTCTTCGATTGTCACTTCCTCGATCTCCAAGATCCTTAAGATTTCGTCTTTTTCTTTTATTGTTATTCTAGAAGACGGTGTGATGATGACGCCGTCTTTGTCCCACGTGGCCCATGGGGCAGGCAGGCCTTTCACGGCGCATTGGAAGACCACGTGGTCACCTTCTTCGACGACCTTATTGAATGGGTACGTGTAGAATTTGGGAGGCATCTGACGTGACGGGCTGCAGAGACGACGAGGGTCAGGACCTGGAGTGAATGAAAGAAAGAAAAATAACTTATTTTGTTCAAAATACACAACTTACAATATGTGCACGAATTAAATAATTTCTGAACTATTGAAAGACCTAGAATTTCGTGAGTTACGTGGGCTAGTTATAAATCTTTTTAAACTTTAGATTTTATCTGTCTCCTTTGCTGGTTCTTTACAATGTGGGTTTTGACGCGCATTCTAGCTTAAGTTTTAAATTGTTCCACCTAGACAAAAAAGTTCTATGTACATAAGCTAGATGGCGTTTAGGCTTGATTTCCTCCTACGCTGACGTCGGTCGCGTACATCGGTCGAGCGTACGAATAAACACAATGTTCTATGAAGCACCGCACTGCAACGCCGTCGTCAGCGGCAGATGATTACATAGAACTAGTGTGTAATCGTGCGCGCCGCTGACGCCGGTCACCGATGTCAGCCTAAAAGGAAATCAAGCCTTATCTGTCTTACGACTTAGGGACCTCAAAAATCAAGTTTCCCATTGAAATGAGCTGCTAAAAATATTAAAATCTTACCAGGAGTTCTAGTTCTGGACATTGATCTTGCAGGGGTACTCCTGGGCGTTGACCTGGGAGTGGATGCAGCAGACAGAAGCGCTGGCGGTCTCCGGAGCCTTTGACTGAGGGTGTTTGGCTCTCCAGGTGCTGGAATAAGTCCGTTATGACATTAAAATCTAATCAAATTAGTACTTACAAATTGTGAAATGCTTTTAAGGAGCTTATTATACATGTCTCATTCTTTTTTGTTCTACCAGCGCTTCGAGACAAACATTTCGCAAGTACTGAGAAGAAGCTCCGCAACAAACTCAGTCACCACTGTCTGCCGGTTTAATAATATAAAGAAGTAGAAAGTTACAATACATTCAGAAGCAAGTTACTTACAACGCGGTCCCATTGCATTGATAGAATGTGGCCATAAGACTCATCTAGCACGAGACCGCGTGGCAGTTTTAAATATTATATTTCTTTAGTGCCGTGCTAATTTCTAGTTAATTGTAACGTTTTTATGGGATTGATTGTAACGTTTGAAAGTTATTAAAATTAATTATAATGTTCAATATTTTTGCTATTTATCACAATAATACGAGTTTAAAGAAAGGTTTCATTAAGACCTACTTGCTACAACTCCAGCTTATCTAAGTACTTTCATTTGCAGTAGGTAGTAATAGCAGAAATTATTTAAACAATAATCGGGTAAATGACCTATTTATGATTTTTACAATATGGCCGACTCGAGATCCGAGGAACGCGGGTTCGAATCCCACCGCCGCTCGACTATTGTGGTGAGCCCACTCGTAACACAAGCTTATTTAGCTTAAAACGAGGGGCTAAGGTAAGTGCCCCCTACTTCGGTATATTAAGGCTCTTACTACTTTAACAATTTATTTAAAAATAACCAAGCATGATATCAGTATGAAAGCTTTTGTATGCTAAACTTTGGTCTTTTGACAGTAACTTAATACATAAATTATAGTTATATTGTTTGAACTTTTTTTAATATTAATTGTTTTGCGGACCTCTTGTTTGGATCCTGTTTCGTGATAAAATTTTGCTCTGTTTCTAAGTTCGTGAACTCATGTCCCCTATTTCGGGATAAAGCTTTACGCATCGAGTTACGATATTTTAATAATGAATAAGGGTTCAATAAATTTAAAAACGATAGTATAAATTTAGAATAAAAGAATTCTGTGAAATTTACGATATTACTTACCTACCTGAAATATTCATAAGAAATAATGTGAGTCTAGCTAGGTAGGTACGTACCTTCGTATAAAGTTTTGATTTATTATTCTAACAATATGTGAAAATATTTATATAATCATTAGAAATGTAGGGGGGCCTTACCCCCCCCCCCCTTATCTATCCCATATAAAATACAAATAAACCAAGAAAAATAAAACGAATCGAATTAAAACCAAAATTACGCTGGTAGTACTTATGCTAATTTATCTTAAAATTGGTCATTTATGTGAACTTCAAACTCGTGTCATATAAATTCTAGTGAACGAAACATATACCGAATTTAGATCATGAGAAACTTAAATAAATGTATTATTTGTTTCATAACTTACATTTTAATTAACATAAATAATTATTAAAAAACCAAGCATCAAAATATTATCCATAATATCCTTGATTCGGTAGTATCACGAAACAGGGGACACCCGAAAAATAATATGTACGCTATTTCGTGAGTCAAATAATCGCAATTTTAAAGGAATTCTACGTTTTCATATAACTTTTTTCTAAGCCAAATCAATTGTCAAGGAACACATGAAACCACTATTACAAGTTTTATGCAAATGGACGTTTCTTCGCCTTTCTATAAGCTTTTAAGAAGTTGGAGCGCTAACCTTACGGTGAGAGCAACATTTTCACGCCGCACGGCTGTTTTTGGCTCTCTGAGAGTTTGAAGCTTCGTATTGCTCTCATTTTTGGCGCCACAATGTTGGTACTTGGTTTTTTAGATAGCTTAAATAATAGAGTTTTTGTAGTAATAAAGAATTTTTATAAATAATATTCCATTTGCTTATTATTTGAGCTAGAAAAAAAACTTACGAACTTACGTACTATCACGAACTAGTAGCCGTTTACCTTAATGGGACTATTAGTAATTTGGGCAATACAGATTGCTAATAATCTTTAAAAAAATATGTTTGATGTAGTCCTACAGTCGTCAAAAAATCTTTTTCCAGATTAATAGACAGACTGTTTGAAGAATGTAAGTAAAAGTATCAACGATTTCTTCTTCATAGTTTTATTTTTTATCTCAACACTAGTGACCCACCCCTACTGTACATTGTAACTTAAAAAACCTTCCTCTTGAATTAGGTACTCCATCTATTAAAAAAGCTGCATCAAAATCCGTTGCGTAGTTTTAAAGATCTAAACATACATAAGTGACAAACAGGTAAGCGACTTATAATAATTGATGATGATGCTTACGATAAACTACGAGGCAAGCGCTGGTGGTAGCCTTCCCGAGGTTGTTGGACGCCTCGCAGAGGTATGTGCCCTCGTCTTCAGCGGTCACCTGTTTGATCTTCAGGCGAGCTGTTCCGTCTACCAGCGACCATTCAAAGTCCGGATTTTCTCTGATCAACTGTAAGCAACGTTAAGTTCGTATTAAATACAGATTTGAAGGTCATGCGTGTCGTCTTCGGCGTCGTTTCAGCCGAATGACGTCCACTGCTGGACAAAGGACTCTGCCAACGATTTCCACAAGGACCTGTCCTGCGCCGCTCGCATCCAGGCACCTCCCGCGACCTTCACCAGATCGTCGGTTCACCTAGTGGGAGGCCTTATTTTGTGAATTAGCAATTATTTTGCTAATTGTTTAAGCCTCTCTAAATGTTTCTAACAGCAACTAAACGGTGTCGTGAAAGTGTTTGTGTCGATCGCATAGGCGCGTCCATTATTGTATTATGTAGGTACCTCACTTGCCATCCAACTCTCATACTGTAAAAGTATATCTGAATAGATTTGCGTTACTAAAATATAAAATTTGTCAAGTCAAAAATCAAGTTTTATTTCGCTACCATACTGTGCCTAAACACTACAGTATTTTTTATGAACAAGGTGACAATAGCTACGATAGTGTTGGACTGATGGTCGCGGCATTGCCGAGGTCGGTACTTCGAATCCTGTCGCTGCTGGACCACTCTGGGGAACCGACGCATGTTACCTTGTCACACTTGTGATATCTCGCGATGTTAACGGGACTAATAAGTAGTAATTTGTGGAATACAAAGATTTAAAGCCACTCAACAAACCTCTGTATAATGGAACCATCTGATGTCTGGCTCAGGATGCCCGGAGACGCGACACTCAAACTCGATGGCGTCACCATCGTAGCACAGGAGGTCTGTCAGCTCCCTCTCGAACCTTGGGATGACGTCCACTCGTCTGTAAAAATACAAAAAGATACGTTTAAATCTGCAGGAGAACTAAAGTGACTGACATAGCACGAAGAATGGCTAAAATCAAGTGGCAGTGGGAGGGGCACATAGCTCGTAGAGCTGATGGCCGCTGGGGCAGAAAAGTTCTCGAGTGGCGACCATGAGCCGGAAGACGTAGCGCGGGCAGGCCTCCCACTAGAACTAGATGGATCGACGATCTGGTGAAGGTCGCGGGAGGTGCCTGGATGCGGGCGGCATATGATTGGTCTTTGTGGATATCCTTTGGGGAGGCCTTTGTCCAGCAGTGGACCTCATTCGGCTAAAAAGAACGAACGAAAAAACATAATCACTGCTATAAAGTGTCCCACATTTGTGGTTGTTCTTTTATCAATCGTATAATTTGTAAGAAGGGCACAATCTAGTTCCAAAACCAAATCACGAGAGTTGAACTCTCACCTCAGCCGCGGTTTGCCTGCCATTTAACACATGTTCACAAAAGAACTTATTTAAAACATTAATTAAAACTTACCCATATCTTATGTTGTGCTCTTCGGTTGAACTGGGGTCTGCAAGGAGAATAAGTTATTTTAGTTAATTGGCCCAGTGAGTGTTGTTGGATAGAGATCAAAACCCTGCTGTCAGATTAAAAGGATAGTGCCAGGGTCTGGACGACAGTGCGATTCGGTTTACAAATTAGTATTGGCCTGAGGAACAAAATGCACTATGGTTTCATTCTGGGCAGCAGTTGGTCCAACTTCCATACATGGATTGGCACTGTCCTTTCATGTGATGCCCTAAAAGGTGTCTTCGAACTCTGACAGTAGGGTTTTGGGTGAGTGAGCTTACCTTTAGCCAAAATCTGCAGTGATATGATAGCCTTGGCCTCTCCGTGCACGTTGCGAGCTACGACCGAGTACGCTCCGGTGTAGTCCAGCTTGGCGTGCGGGATCTCAAACCGATACTCGGGACCATCGCCCACCCTCTTGAAGTGAGTCGCGTCGCGGTAGTAGTCAGGCTGAAGAAAATGATATTGAAAAATTGTAGGGCATGTTACGGTCGATAGCACGATGATATTAACCTCTCTGGGCTGTCATAAAGCACCAGTCCTTTTTCACTACATTACATATTTTATGACATGGTCACCCTTCTAGACTAGTAGGGCAACGATGCGCGCCACGCTACGTAAATCTTATCGTTTTCAGACCACTAGCCCATACTTTTGTCGTCTTAAATCGATAAAATACTACAATCCTACGGCTATCCTAGCACGGCTGACCAAACCAATTAGGCAAGCCCAAAAGGAAATCTTGCAGCTATAGAAGACGAGTTAAACAAGCAACGAGGCGTAGGCCCAGACCACCAAGGCGGAGCAGAGTAGAGAAGTGTTGGGCTGTCAAAAATTGTTCTATAGAATTTGACAGCGGCGACGGCGCGGAATTGACATGAAAAGTGGAAATAATTAAATCTTATTGGTTACTAGCGGCCGCCCGCGACTTCGTACGCGTGGATCAGATTTTTTCATACAAATGTTTTTTCCCGCTAACTCCGTGGCAATTTTGCAATATCCTGTTGTAACTAAGCTTTAAGTTTACTAAGGTACCTGCATGCCAAATTTCAAGCGTCTAACTTAAGCGGTTTAGATTTTTCATACAAAAGGATTTTCCCGCTAATTCCTGTTCCCGTGGGAATTTAGAGAATTCCTATCTTGGTGCACCTCTACGGTACTTAAGCTACGTCACTTCCAAATTTCAAGTGCCTACATTTAGCCGTTTAGGCTGTGCGTTGATATGTCAGTCAGTTTCTCCTTTTATATATTTAGATTCAAAACACTTCTCCGCTCCCCTCCGCCTTGGTGGAAACCGGCCTTACAAGCGACAAGGTAACAAAAGGCGTACCTTCAAGAAGTCCCTCAACCAGTACACGTCAGGCTTTGGGTCTCCGACCACCTCGCACTGGATGATAACGGTGTCTCCTTCTCTCGCCTCGCTCGACCGCGGCTTGCGGACGAACATCGGCTCTTTGGAGTATCTATGAAAGAGCAAAAAAGTAAGCCTTTTATATTAAACGTCCCATCCCACAAAAAAGGTACAAAATCAAAGCAGACGATCGTGTCGCCGCGACTCACAGGTTTCTATGGATGGCGTTTTATTGAAATAAGTACATATGCATAGAAACCAATAGTGAATAATACACCGACACAGTTACACGAGCAAATGGAATGCTTAGGATTTCTGTTCAAGGAAAAATGTGCTTAAAAATCAACTGTAGATTCAAGAGATTCGTCCACTCTTCAATCTACATAAAAATATTTCGTTAAACAATATAACTCACGGCACATCAGGACTGATAAGCATCGGCGGTGTCTTCTTCTTCACGACAGAACCGTCTGCGATCACCTCCACCTTCCCTGACGTGGTGGCTCTGCCCACTTCATTTGATGCTGTGCAGGTGTACACGCCGGCATCCCTTGGCGTCACGAAGGCGAGGGCAAGCTCGATCTGCCCGTCTCGATCGAGGGTCATGATGGCCCGGCGACTCGGTCTGAGACGCACCCCATCACGGTACCAGGTCACCCCGACTGTGGGGTACGCTTCTACTACCGCTGATATTCTTAGCTCTTCTCCTGTAATTTAAAGTGTACCAGTAGATAAGAGACTCTAAGGAACAATAACAACATGCACGCTTGCGTCCACAGATCACAGAAACTAAAGGGAGATGTGAAAAGGGGGCGGGACAAAAACAAAACACATTATTCATGACAGCAATGATGACAGCAGCGACGTTATATGTGTAAACAGTTTACATTGCTTTCGTAGTACTAAAGATTACCTATTCTAATGCTGAGCTACTGATACCACAGTGGATAATGAGCACGTTCAAACCTCAGGTTCAAACTAACAGAATACATTCAAGCGCACGCTCAATGCAATGTGTGCATTACACATACCTACTCTTCGCTACGTGTTGTTTTTATTTTGATTACTTTGTGTGTCTGTATTTCTTATGACACACTGGGTTTCAAACACAGCGCACTAGTTGGCATCTCTCTAGCTTGATCTCTATGCTTGCGTCGGTACGTAGGAAATAAGTCAGTAAGAGAATTAAGAGATTTTTGGGCTTCGGCTATTGATGTGCACAAAAGCTGTAAGCTGAACATCACAGCCACGTACGCCTTGATAAACTTATCAATCACGAGATTACAATAGCAGAACATAGGTTTACAACTGTTCCAGAAAACAATCAATTCTACGGCCTACGCATGAGTGTACTAAAAAATTTACTTGTTACCTTCTTTTAGTCGGTACAAGGGTTCCAGCCCACAGCAGAATTCTGGAGCCACGTACGCCCTGATGCCCTTGTCGACCACGAGGTTGCAGTGGCAGCTGATGGCTCCACAGCTGTTGCGCGCCATAGCCTCGTAGATTCCACCATCTTCGAGGCTGGTTGGAGCGATCTCCAGAGTGTGGAAGTGCTCGTCTTGAGATTTGGTGTGGCGACCTGGAAAATAGAAATAGGAAAGGTTTAAATCAAATATTGCAATAGTTTGAGGTCTTTCCACTCGTTCTGTGAGACACTCCCTCACTCACCTCATTACTTCAAATGTGATTAATTTATTTTGCCATGTCTTTTTACGTAAAAACATGTATTCCTAAATACCGCAGCTTCTAAAGGATCATCGAAGTCCCAATATCTTGTTTAAAAGCTTTTTTCCCTCATAATACTACAGTTTTTTTTATTTGCCTTACAAAACTGGGTACAATCAGATAACATACACAAGTAATGAATTTAAAATCAACACACTGATTTACTCTACTCGACGTAAGCACAGCATGCATACAATCAAAACACTGATGCTGGAATCACATCATTAATGAACCTATTAGTGTAGATAAAGCTAAGGTGAATTCCCCTACCACCATAAATAAACCAACACATTTTTACAGTCATAAAGAATCCCGCATTTCAAAAGTATAATAACCTAATTTTAGATTTTCGATAGGAAACCGATGATGCGTTATTGGCAGACGTCGAATATAAACATAGTGCGACACTTGGCAGCCATTCTGGTGCAAAAATAGCGTCGTGACCGACTATCCTTTCATTGTTGGACTGGGATGTAATCAAACATTGTCGGTGTTACGACGTTATGATAAAAAGAGAACACATACTCGTATTGTTTGATACTATAGCTATCTTTATTCAAGACTAAAAATGAGAAGCAAAATCATTAATTTTCAAAATTGTACTTAATTACCTTCATATTTTGACTTCTCGATCTCAAAAAAGGCGTGGTGACAATTAAAAGTTTCAAGATTCTTTAGAGAAGATACAAGGCCTAATCGTTAAAGGCTATTTCTCATCGCCACGGTTCTCATCGTCACCTTCGTGGCGAATTTTATTTCTAACTTATTTCAACTTTTTGTAAACAAAAATTGTAGCGCTTGATGTGAAGATTGTATTCTCAGTAACTCAGTCAAATAGTGAGTCTCGTTTGGAAGCTTTAACGTTTTGAATTTTTTGATGCCACGAAAGTGATTCTGTACTTCACAGCAATATTTTTTTCAAACTTTACTACTGTAAATGACTCTTAAGTGTTTATAACCTCCCCAATGGTCGAAGCGCGACTGACGTTAACCGAATAGAACGCTGTGATTGGTTGCTGGTGTTCGGTTTAACGGCAATCTTGTATTATAACTCAAAATTTTAGGTACCTAAAATCGTGTGACCAACGTATTTCGCTTTCTCAATTCAAAATAATTATAAGAAGATATTTTTTTGACTATTGTGTGGAAAGCATATTTAATTACGATGATTTTAGTATATGCTGCACACAAATTGAATGAAAATTGTGAATGCAGTAACCAAATGTTTCATTGCAACCGAAGGTGTGACACGATGAGAACGCGAAAAATGACCCCGTTTTTTATCGTTTCATGTGATTTTTTCGTATTATTTTTGCTTCTATTACGATAAAATTTATTTTGTATGTAGCTAAATAGATATTTTATCATCTGATTTCAAAGTTATTGTTCTAACTTATACCGTTTATGAACTATTATTGTGTGACCATCAAATTTGAGTGTAAATGAGAAGTACCCTAAAGCAATATTTTATTACTGCCTTTAGTTCAATTCAATGTTCAAGTAATAGCTCAAGCAAGCTCAAATGAAGGAATAAGCTTATTCGCAATGCAGATTAAAATCATTCTTAAAACACAAGATCTCTTTCTGTTTTAACATTTATCACAGAGGTCTTGAGATGTCTTAACATTACTGCCATTTGGACTTTACTACTTACCACAAAACAAATACCACCCATCTTTACCAATGGGAATAAAAACGTCCCTAATTCACAACAAACAATTCTAACAGAAAATCTCCAGTGCATAAGTTACTCACTGTCAAGTATAACATCCTCTCCATCCTTGAACCACGTGACTGTAGGTGAGGGGCTGCCCACAACTTGACAGGTCAGCCTGACAGGATAGGTAGCCTGGACCCGTCTGTCACGGAGACGCATCGTGAATTGGGGGGGATACTCTCCGGCCGCATCGGCTGATCTTTCCCTGGAATTAAGATTAAGTTCATATAGCAATCTTCTTTGACAATGAAGAGAGGTAAATTAGAGCAGTTGCTTTTTTACATTCGAATATAAATCCAAACAAGAGATCGTGTACAATATTAACAACAAAAGCCTACATAACAAAGGCTGGCCTATATTGAGAACAACGCACATTGAAAATACACTTTTTTTTTTTGGAAATTCGAAATATTATAGTTTGCACAATTACATACCTCTTGAGCTTAGCATCGGCTTCCCAAATAAGTCTGTCAGTGACCACCGCCAGCCGAGCGTAAGTTGAGGCCCTTCCATGCACGTTGGTAGCTTCACAGCTGTACCGCGCTTCATCCTCAGGGTTGATCCCATTTATGGTCAAGCTGCAGTTGAACCCATTGAACGAGGTCTTCACCCTAGCGTCGTCATCCTCCAACTCATGTCCGTTCTTCATCCAAACAACTTCCGGGGTCGGCTTGCCTTTGACACTACAGCTTAAACTAGCCGTCTCGCCGACCAAAACCTTTAATAGACCCGGGAGAATGTCGACGAATTCCGGTCTATCCCCTGCTAATCCAACGCCGAACGGTGAGGAAGTTTGCACAGATTCACCCCAGCCGTATCTGTTCCGTGGCGTGACTCTGAAGTGGTACTCCTCGCCCGACTTCAAGTTGAACGCGTCGAAGGAGTTCAAGGGCGTTATTCCTAGTTCTGCCCACCGCGCGCCGCCTTCCTTCCCGACCAGCCAACTCTCGACCTTATACGCTAGTACCGGCGCGGCTTCACTAGGCTCGGGCTTTGGCCACGCGAGGGACACCCAGTTGTTTCCACCGTCCACGACGCTCGGTTCGCCCGGGATGCGGTCAGGCACAGCTGAAAACAAGTTTCAATATCAACGCGACAATGACCTTATGAAGATACTTGATTGGGTGCCAGCTGACGATTTGTGCCAATCACCTAATTGGTATCTCGGCTTGATAACTGATGGATCAGATTATACGATTATATTGATATAGATCACCATAATGCCACCATTTTATGATGTTGTTTCTCAGATAATTTCTGACAAGTTGTTTAGCGAGTAGCGACTAACAAAAGGTGATTTTCTGTATTCAAGTCCCGTTAAAGTGATAAGTATTGTATTTTATGAGCTCGTAAAAACTAGACTAAACTGTTGTTGAGAGTAACTAACTACTTTTAATAACTTACATTTGTACTTCCTTTCGGTTATTGACAATGCTGAATCGTCCATAGGGTATGTCCAGTCCGATATCAAATTTTCTGAAGATGCACGCTGTCTTACCTGAAAATGAGAGAATGAAATAGTTATTAACCTATTCTAAAACATTTATTGTTAGAACATATTTCTAAGAAATAGGCACATAAGCAGAATTAGGCCACCCTAAAATGTAAATCAATAAAAAAGTTCTGGTAAACGCTGGAAATACTTACCACAACAGTCACAAAGGCCCTGTCGCAGCCGTATGCGTTTCTGGCCAAAATGCAATAAGTACCAGCGTCCGATACGACAGACCTCTTCACAGTGAACTTGACGTAATCATCAGAGGTCATTTTGCACACGCGTTGACTGTTGGTGATGTCTCTGATACCTTTCATGAATATTACTGCAATGAAAAGTTTAATATTAACGTTATCAGGCAAAACTATCACTAAAACCGAAAATTAAAAAATATTATCGCCCATATTCACAAACATTGCTTGCTTAAGAGAAGCAGAAAAACAAACGCACAGCGTTGAATAGAGCTCTGTGATTGGTTCGTGTGTCACCCTGTGCTCCCACGCGCACTATGAGTCTTCATAGTAAGGTTTATGAATACGGGCGTTAGAATCCTGAATTTGAGATTATTGCCTTCATGACGTGAGTAGTTTTTACTGATGTTTTGTAAGTTTTCCTACACGACTCGACACGACAGATATTTTAGTGCTTTACCTGTGCTTTTACTTCGCAGTAGCTAAAGCTTACCTTTGGGCCTGGGTTCTCCTTGTACCCTAAACGATATATTCAGGTCTTCACCAACAGATATCAACAGATCCTTTTCAGGTCGCCCTACAATAATCGCTGGTTTGCCTTCGAGCTCATTTGGCTGTACCACAGTAATAGCGGCATTCATATCCACAGTTCCATGACTGCTCCAAGCTCTGCAAGTGTATAAACCAGATTCCCTCTCAGTAACATCTGGTAGCGCCAAAGTGTACAAGCCTTGTTCTACATAAGTCTTCGCATTAGTGTAGGTCTCCACAACTGATCGACCTTCACGTAACCACTCGACTCTGGTTGGGCATCCTTTGATTTCCACTTGAAGTCCAATTGTGCCTCCTCTAGTAACTTTGTAATCAGTCAAAACATTGCTAAAGTGCGGCCTTCGGGATTCTAACGCCTGGCGGTTGAAGCGAGATCGCTCAATTGTAGCCAGGTTTGGACCTAAACAGCTTTCTCTACCTGTAAAATTGGTTTATGACAAATTAAATGATGTAATCTCTTCATTAAAAAAATCACAAAGTTGTAACCAATAATGATAGAACTCACCCGTGAAGTTAACAACGTGTGTTATTTGGTCTGACCATACAGAATTTTCAGCTTTGCAAGTGTATTTACCACTGTCTTCGGGCGTGGGAGATGATATAGCTAATCTGCAAACGCCATCAGCCAGATAGTAAGCTTGGAATCGCTCGTTTATGCTAACTGGCCTGTCGTCTTTCAGCCAGGTAATGGTGGGGAGAGGCTGACCCCGTATCCGACATTCAAGGACCAATTCATTTTCAGCCAAATGATAGGCATCTGTAAGATCATAAACGGTTAATAGTTATACCAATAAAATGAATAATTAGTAAAATCTAACATTTATTTATACGTACCGCGTATTGATCGAGTAAAAGTAGGCGGAATAGGTGAAGCTTCAAAACTAGGATACACTTTCAAGTTGGCTGACGTATTTATTGACCCGTTCTCGTTTTCAACTGTACAGCTGTACTCGGCAGAGTCGCTTGGAACTGCATTCAAAACTTCCAAAGTTATGAGACCATCCATCATTTTTGTTCTGTATTTCAATTTGTTGTCTAATAACACGCCGTTTTTGTACCAAGTGACCTTAGGGTCTGAGGAGGATAGAACGCTACAAGTAAGTTTGACTCGAGATCCTTCAACAGCAGTTCGGTCTGTCAGGAACGTGGAGAAGACAGGTTTCCTCTTGATATCGCGAGAAGCGCTCGTGCGTTTCTCAGAAAGTATGCTCCTAGCCTCACTCAGGGCTTTCGATCTTTTTATTTCCGACCTCCTTTCCAATGGTTCACTACTTCGGCTTGATTCAGGAACGATAGCCCTAGGAGGCGCCGACGATCTCAGTTGCGCATCCATCTTCAAGTTATTTGCTTTGTAAATATGTCCCGTACCAGAATTCGTATCAAAAGTCGTGAAGCTATCGACTTCGATAGTCTTCTCTCGATACGCAGAAGGCCTGGCGAATTCCATTGTATAATCTCTATGGTTATGGTCTATGAATCTAGGTTTCTCTCGGTCTTCGTGCTTTGGACGACTTGTAGGCTCATAATTATATTCCTTAATGTAATGTTGAGAAGTGTCACTTGGATGTGACCTGATTGATCTATCTATATCAGATTTGACGTCATTACCCAATTTTTTGCCGTAAGAATCTTCTTGATATGAATCTTTCTTCAATGACTTTTCATCAACTAACTTTATTCCGCTCATTTCTGTAATAGTTTTATCTTTATGTAAAATATCCTGTTGCGTCATAGTACCATCTTCAGTTTGCTTACTTTTCTTTTTCAAATCATCCGTTTTTTCATCGTAGCTTTCATCTCTAGGTAAAGGTTTTTGTTTTTCCGAATCCTCGGACTCAACTTTTCTAATTTTCTTCTTCTTTGTTTCAATTTCAGTGCCAACTTTAGCTGTCTCATCATCAGTACGTTCTGTGACTTCCGGTTTTGTGATTCCTTGTTCATGATTTTCCCCAGCAGTCTTCTTCTCAGACTCTGGCTTCTCTGTTTTTGGCCGTTCTTTATCATCCTTGAGCTTTTTCAAACGTTTCTTTTCAGCCTTTTCTTTTTTCAGTTTTTCAGCTTCGTCTTTTACTTTTTGAATTGCTAGTTCATCTTGTTTGCGCTTCTCTTCTTCTGCACGTTTTCTCGCTTCTTCCATCTGAAGTTTCTCGGCTTCTTCCTTCTCAGTTTTCTTTATCGATTCCTCCTCATTCCGCAGAGATTCCTCTTTCTGTTGCTTTTCAGCCTGTTCTTTCTCTTTTTGTAGTCGAGATGCTTCCTCTTTTTCTTTTGCGATACGTTTTGTTTCAGCGTCTTGTTTTTCTTTTTCATCCTTTAAACGTTTCTCCTCCAGTTCCATTTCTTTCTTTTGTTTTTCTTCCTCGAGATGTTTCTTTTCGGCTTCTTCTTTCTCCCGTTCTAACCTTTCCTTTTCCTTTTTTTCTTTTTGAAGCTTCGCTTCCTTTTCTTTTTCTTCTTCTGCACGTTTATTTTCGGCTTCTTCTTTCTCTCGTTCTAACCTTTCCTTTTCTTCTTTTTCCTTCTGAAGCTTCGTTTTCTTTTCTTTTTCTTTTTCTTCTTCTGCACGTTTCTTTTCAGCTTTCTTCTTTTCCATTTCTTTCTTTTGTTTTTCTTCCTCGAGACGTTTATTTTCAGCTTCCTCCTTCTCTCGATGTAACCTTTCTTTCTCTTCTTTTTCCTTCTTTTGTTTTTCTTCCTCTAAACGTTTTTCCTCTTCTTCTTTCTTTTCTCGGTCTAATCGTTCTTTCTCTTCCTTTTCCTTCCGAAGCTTCAGTTGCTTTTCTTCCTCTAGACGTTTCTCCTCAGCCTTTACTTTCTCTTCTTCTACACGTTTCTTTTCAGCTTCTTCCTTTTCGCGTTCTAACCTTTCCTTTTCTTCTTTTTCTTTCTTGAGTTTCGTTTTCTTTTCTTTTTTCTGCTTTTCTTCCTCTACACGTTTCTTTTCTGCTTGTTCTTTCTCTCGTTCTAACCTTTCGGTTTCTTCTTTTTCCTTCTGAAGCTTCGCTTTTTTTTCTTTTTCTTCATCTAGACGTTTCTTTTCAGCTTCTTTCTCTTCCTTTTCCTTCTGAAGCTTCAGTTCTTTTTCTGCCTCTAGACGTTTCTCCTCAGCCTTTACTTTCTCTTCTTCTACACGTTTCTCTTCTGTTTCCTCCTTCTCTCGGTCTAACCTTTCCTTTTCTTCTTTTTCCTTCTGAAGCTTCGCTTCCTTTTCTTTTTCTTCTTCTACACGTTTCTTTTCAGCTTCTTCCTTCTCTCGTTGTAACCTTTCCTTTTCTTCTGTTTCCTTCTGAAGCTTCAGTTCTTTTTCTTCCTCTAGACGTTTCTTTTCAGCCGCTAACTTCTCTTCTTCTACACGTTTCTTTTCAGATTCCTCCTTTTCGCGTTCTAACCTTTCCCTTTCTACTGTTTCCTGCTGAAGCTTCGCTTCTTTTTCTTTTTCTTCATCTAGACGTTTCTTTTCAGCTTCTTTCTCTTCCTTTTCTTTCTTTTGTTTTTCTTCCTCTAAACGTTTTACCTCTTCTTCCTTCTTTTCTCGGTCTAATCTTTCTTTCTCTTCTTTTTCCTTCTGAAGCTTCAGTTCTTTTTCTTCCTCTAGACGTTTCTTTTCAGCCGCTAACTTCTTTTCTTCTACACGTTTCTTTTCAGCTTCCTCCTTTTCGCGTTCTAACCTTTCCTTTTCTTCTTTTTCTTTTTGAAGCTTCGCTTCCTTTTCTTTTTCTTCTTCTACACGTTTCTTTTCAGCTTTCTCCTTATCTCGGTCTAACCTTTCCCTTTCTTCTGTTTCCTGCTGAAGCTTCACTTCTTTTTCTTTTTCTTCCTCTACACGTTTCTTTTCGGCTTCTTCTTTCTCTCGTTCTAACCTTTCCTTTTCTTCTTTTTCTTTTATAAGCTTCGTTTTCTTTTCTTTCTTTTGTTTTTCTTCTTCGAGACGTTTCTTTTCTGCTTCCTCCTTCTCTCGTTCTAACCTTTCCTTTTCTTCTTTTTCCTTCTGAAGCTTGGCTTCTTTTTCTTCATTTAGACGTTTCTTTTCAGCTTCCTCCTTCTCTCGTTTTAACCTATCCCTTTCTTCTGTTTCCTGCTGAAGCTTCGCTTCTTTTTCTTCTTCTAAACGTTTCTTTTCTGCTTTCTCCTTCTCCTCTTTTTCCTTCTGAAGCTTCAGTTCTTTTTCTTCCTCCAGACGTTTCTTTTCAGCCGCTAACTTCTCTTCTTCTACACGTTTCTTTTCAGCTTCTTCCTTTTCGCGTTCTAACCTTTCCTTTTCTTCTTTTTCTTTCTTCAGTTTCATTTTCTTTTCTTTCTTCTGCTTTTCTGCCTCTANGTAAAATAAGCATTTTAGTTAAAATTAAAATTGTCCCTACCTGTAGAGGAGAATAATGTTGTGATAGGCCTTTGTTCAAACTATCATAGCAAATGTTGTGATAGGGATAGAGACATGCAATTTTTGGTTTTACAAAGGTAATGCGATAGAGAATAATACAAAACAATAAAAACTAGAGATGAAACGGATATCCGGTAACTATCCGGTAGGCCGGATATCCGGCCTAATTTTACTATNGTTCTATCCTTTCTTTCTCTTCTTTTTCCTTCTGAAGCTTCGCTTTTTTTTCTTTTTCTTCATCTAGACGTTTCTTTTCTGCTTTTTCCTTCTCTTTTTCCTTTTGAAGTTCTTTTTCCTTTTCCTGCTGAAGCTTCACTTCTTTTTCTTGCTCTAGACGTTTTTTTTCTGCTTCCTCCTTCTCTCGCTCTAATCTTTCCTCCTCTTCATTTTCCTTTTGAAGCTTCTCTTCCTTTTCTTTCTTTTGAGTTTCTTCCTCTAGAAGTTTCTTGTTAGCTTCTTCTTTGTCTTGTTCTAACCGTTTCTTGTCTTCGTTTTCTTTCTGAAGCTTAATTTCCTTCTCTTTTTCTTCTTCTAGACGTTTCTTTTCAGCTACTTCCTTCTCGCGTTCCAACGTTTCCTTCTCTACTTTTTCCTTTAGAATCTTTTCTTCGTTTTCTTTTTTTAGTTTTTCTTCCTCTTGAAGTTTCTTTTCAGCTTCTTCTTTCTCTTGTTCTAACCATTTCTTGTCTTCTTTTTCTTTCTGAAGCTTTATTTCCTTCTCTTTTTCTTCTTCTAGACGTTTCTTTTCAGCTACTTCCTTCTCGCGTTCCAACGTTTCCTTCTCTACTTTTTCCTTTTGAATCTTTTCTTTGTTTTCTTTTTTTAGTTTTTCTTCCTCTTGAAGTTTCTTTTCAGCTACTTCCTTCTCGCGTTCCAACCTTTCTTTCTCTTCCTTTTCCTTTTGAAGCTTCTCTTCCCTTTCTTTCTTTTGAGTTTCTTCCTCTAGAAGTTTCTTGTTAGCTTCTTCTTTGTCTTGTTCTAACCGTTTCTTGTCTTCCTTTTCTTTCTGAAGCTTTATTTCTTTCTCTTTTTCTTCTTCTAGACGTTTCTTTTCAGCTACTTCCTTCTCGCGTTCCAACCTTTCCTTATCTTCTTTTTCCTTTTGAATCTTTTCTTCGTTTTCTTTTTTTAGTTTTTCTTCCTCTTGAAGTTTCTTTCCAGCTTCTTCTTTCTCTTTTTCTAATTTTTCCTTCTCTTCTTTTTCTTTCTTTAGTTTAGTCTTCTTTTCTTTCTTTTGCTTTTCTTCTTCTAAACGTTTCCTTTCTGCTTCCTCCTTTTCTCGCTCTATTCTTTCTTCCTTTTCTTTTTCTTCTTCTAAACGTTTCTTTTCTGCTTCTTCCTTCTCTCGTTCTAATCTGTCTTTCTCTTCCTTTTCTTTGATTTGTTTTAGCTCGTTTTCTTCCTCTAGACGTTTCTTTTCTGCTTCCACCTTTTCTTGTTCTATTCTTTCCTTCTCTGCTTTTTCTTTTTCTGATCTCGTTCTTTCTGCATCTAATTTGTCTTTTTCCTGCGATTCTTGTTTGTTTTGTTGTTCACTTGTAGCCAGTTCTTCTTGTTCTTTTAAAGATTCTTCTGTCTTTTGCTTTTCTTTGACATCTTGTTGTTTTTCATCATTATCTTGTTTCTGTAAATGTTCTTGGTCTGAAGATAGAACTTGTTGGTTTTTCATCGTTTCTTCATGTTCTTTGGTTTCTAATGCCTTTTTGGTTACTTCTTCCTCTTTCTGAATATCCTTATCTTTTACAATTGCTGATTTTTCTTCAAGATCCTTAGTTTCAGTAGCTTCTTTTTGTAGACTAGTGTCTACTTCTTTCTTCTTCTTCTCTGATTTACGCTTTCCTTTGGCATCTAGTTTCTCTTTGCCAGGCTTGGTATCTTTTTCTTCCGTACTAACTTCATCTTTTTGTCTTTCGTCTTTGGCTGCAATGTCATGTTTTGAATCTAATGAATCTTCTTGTACTTTTTGTTTTGTTTTTTCTTCAGACAAAACTTCTTTTTCTTCCTTGAGCTGTACCACATCTTTTGTAGTAATTTCTTCTTTGACCATTTGTTCTGTTATTTCATGTTTAATTTGTGGAACATCTCTAGAGCTTCCAGCCTCTGCTACATCTTTTGGTGAGATAAAATCTTCTGAAGACTTTTCAATCACCTTTTGATTGTCTTTTTCTTGAGCCTGACTCTTTGGTACATCCTGTTCTGGTTCAGTTGCCTTGACTTTTTGTTCCTCACTTTGTGTTTGCAAGGCATCTGTAGCTAAAGTAGTTTTTTCCAATGTTTCTTCAATTTTGTTTTGGGTTTCTTTTTGATCTTCAATTATTTTTTCATCTTTGTCCTTAGATATTTGTTGTCTTGAAGAAGTAGACGGCAACTGTATTTGTTCATCTTTTAAATCTTCTTCTTGTTCAATCTTTCTTTGAGAATCAGTTGATTTAGAAACTTCAGATTTATCACTTTGTGCTGTTTTGTCTTTAATTTCTGATGATTCCATTTGTAGATCTTCTTTAACTACGTCAGATTGAGTTGAAGGAACTGTAATTTCTGTTACTAAGTCTTGCGCTTTTGAATCTTTGACTCCATCTTGTGTTTCTGTTTGCTTATTCGTATCCGAAATCTTATCTTCTAACTGTTGAATTTGTTCTGGAATGTGTTCATGTTTACTTGAAAAGTCTTCTTTACTTACAACTTCCTGTTGATCAACTGACACAGAAGTATCTTTTTCTACGAATGCCACTTCTGCTATTGATTCTTTGATTTCTGTTGCCAGCTCCGACTTTTCTTCAATCTTTTCAACCTCAGATTTTTCCATGCTCATAGTTTTTTCTTCAATTTGCTTACTTGTTGATGGAACTCCAATCTCTTCAAGCGTTTGGACTGTTTGCACTTTAGATTCAGCCTGATAAGCTTCTTCTATCTGTTCAGTAGCACTCTGAGCTGTTAAATCAGTTGCAAATTCTAAAGCTTTTTCTACTGGTACTACGGACGAGGTTTCTATTTCTTCTTTTTCTACAGGTTGTACTTCAATCTTTGCAACATCTATTTCAGGTACTTCGACCACTTTATCCTCGGCGATTTCTAAAACATGTTCTTCTTTTTCTTCAGTCTCTTGCTGTATAATAATTTCTTTTACTTTTACTGGTCTGTTTTGTAGAGCAACTTGAAGATTTGACGTTAAATCCAAAACTCTTGAAGCAATTTCTTTGAATATAGGTATTTTTTCTTTTACCTCAAGGGTAGAACGCTCTTCGATGTTTTGAAGATTGCTTTCAACACATTTTAAGGTGTTATTCATTTTTATTTTAACTTCAGAATCAAGACCCTCAATCATGGATAAAACTTTAATATTTGATTTAAGATCGTCGAGAATAATTTTGGTGAATGCAGCATCACTTGGCAGTCGTGCAGTTTTATCAAGGTTAATATAAAACTTAATATCTTCAAAGTGATTCAAAACGCTCCGTAAGGATTTCGAAAACTTTTTCAATTTGGCCAATTCTGCTTCATCTTCAGACATTTTGGATAAGGAATTAACATTTTTCATGGAGCGAAGGAGGCTTTCAGAGGGGTTGCCATAGTTCTCAAACATAAATTGTTTCTGTGTGCTTGATACTGTACTGCGCATATTCGATATACTACCATAGACTGAATGCACTGCCGTGACAATAGAATCTTTAATTGTCGGTGATAAAGCCTCTGCTAAATCTAATTCCTTTTCAATTGAAAACACTTTCTCTTCTATCTGGTCAAGATTCTGCATAATATCAATACCCTTTTCTATTACAGTATCAGCATTCCCAATAAAGCCAGATTTAAGAGATTTCATAGTTTGAGTTAGATTACTTAAGCTCGCTACAATATCGATCAATTTTCTTTGGCCTTGTGTATCCACTTTGGAAGCTTTTTCCAATAACTTCACAGTCTCACTAGTCTCTTCCGAGCATTTATCCAGTGTGTCTTTAAGGTTGATTTCTTTGTTCACAGTTTCTGATACAGAAGTTTCATTCGTTTCACTCATGTTATTTACCAACAGCTGCAAAGTAGCGCAAGCTTCTTTGAGTAACTCTGGAGGACTATCTTCATTTATTTGTAATTGGACACTCCTCACACTGCACTCTAAATCTTCAAGAGTTTCATTGAGAGTGTCGTTTGCTCCATCAAAGTCTCGTTTGAGTTTGATAATGACAGTTTGTACTTCGTCCAAGCTGTCTCTGAGCACTTCAGTGTCCTCTGGAACTCTGTCGGTTGATGAGAGATCAATTTTGTCTGTCACCTCTTGCAACAGGCACTCAAGTTGTTTCATTGAATCCTCTTTCGTGGATTTGGTGACTTCTGAAAAATATTAAATCATTAATTAGTCAATTGATTTCCAACGTTAATAGTTATTTACAAATTGTACATGAAATATTTACCTGTTTCTTGCGTTAAGATAGTTTCAGAAACGGTAGCGGCCACTAAGCTCTCCTGTAAATGTGTAACTGCTTCAGATATTCGCTCAAGTTTCTCAACCGGTAGGACTGCGGTAATGTCTTGTGTGGTATCCATTACTTTGGTTTGTAGAGTTAACAAGGCTTCATTTAATTTTTCTTTTAGTTGAGCCTGTTGCATTTGAGTTTCTTTTGGTATGGAAATAGTTTCTTCTGAACTATCTGTTTGACTTATGCTTGCAATGCTTTCGAGCAATTCCTTAGCCATTTCCATTGAACTTTTTAATACTGTGACATCAGCAACCTGTGCCAATTCTTCTATTGCTTCCACTACATCTTCGGAAATAAATCCTTCAATATGCTGAAGGAGATCACCTGATACTGTAAAAATAAATATTTTTATCGATTATTACACGAATTCATTGATACTGTACTGCACATCGAAAGCAGTGATTGTGCTTTTGCCAATATTCTATGTGCGGTGTGTGTGTTTGTGATTGTAAGTAGCATTTTTTCCTGTAAACTACTGTGTTAAGTGTAACTTACATAAGCTTGATGATTATAGGTATCGACACATCGTTCATCCATTATGCCTAAATTAGTTCCATTTGTGCATTTGTAACTATGAGCCATAGAGTAAGTTTTAATACACTTGCTAGTTTTTGTTTTATGAGTTAGAGTTTGTAATTAATTAGGGTTGGATACTAAAGTAAGGTTTTCATAAAAAAAACTACTCATAATTTCATATTATTATGATGTATTTTATAACAATTTATTTATAAGGAAACTAACTTATGTACTATGTTGTACGCTTTGTTGGTTGTCCTTGAATAAATAAATTAATACTGGCTCAAATTATGGCATCGGCATATTGTTAGAACAGACAGTGTGTCGACTCCTCAGCATGGTGCTACGAATACATTCTAGGTACAATAATAGCGTAATAATATATGTACAACATCATTGTGTATAATTCTGCGTTATTTTTGTGTGTACTGTTTGTGTATTCGGGTTTTGTGGTTTTTGTGAAGAAAGATAGTAATGTAAATACACAACCCTAATTAATATAAACAAGTGTAAATTAAGTGCTAAATATTTTTGTTAACAAGTAAATCTTCACTTTTGAACAGACTTTAAAAATGATCCACCATATCCATCCATCCAATAATCCATCCATAATATTTTCTTTAAAACATACGTTTTTAACTCGATCATTATTAATTATTTAGTATTAAAAAGCCAAATACTAAAGTTAAAAGCCGTGTAATAACAATCTACGATGTCAATCAATGATTTACGACAATCCTTTGTTTAAGACTTACGATGTGAAATTTCTTTATTTTTATCAGAAATCTCTTCAGCATCAGCCCCAAATTGATCATAGTGATGTAGGCCTACTTGCGTCATGTTTTCCGTATTTGTATCTTGTAGTTTACTACTTTGACTTTCTATTTTTATGTCTTTGAAAGAATGTTGATTGTCTTCAACACTCAATGAATTTTTATCAACTATATTTTGGTTTATAATCTCATCATGACTTTGAGTATCAATGGCTGAAGGTAATTCAGTCTCAGTTTCTATAATAGGTGCTGATATTATTTCAGATTCAAAGTCTTCAATCGACGAGCTAGCTTGCAATATTTCCATGCAGTTTAGCTCTGCTAGCTTAATTAAATCATTTAAAAACTCAGTGGCAGTTAGAATTATTTCTACCGGAGGATTAATTTTGACATCACTTAAATTGGGGTCCATCAACTTTATCTTCCTCTTATCTTTTTTACTTTCCGATGAAGAAGTTATATCGCTGGAAAGAGAATCTCTGTGAATCATCTCGGACACAATTTCTACGGACTCTGTGACTATATCATCAATCACTTCTGTAGCAACTTGAATAACATCTTCAAGTGAGCTATCTCGCTCTTCAGAAATCGAATCTTGAAACATGATTCTTTTGGTCTTTGGTCTATCTTCCAACATTTTATTTTTTAAAATTTCATCCAAAGAAGACAACACACTTTGTAAATTCCTTGCAGTGTTCAAAGATGATATGAGTTCAGTTGAAACTTCTGCGGTTTTCACATCTTTCAAACAATGTTCTGTGTCCGCTATTAAGTGAGTAAGCATATCGTTTAGTGTGGCAGCACTTTGGTGTATGTGTGTGTAGCTTAGTTGTGGGTTTTCGCACTTATCAAGTTTTACAATTTCCTTACTCAACTCTGTTGCATTATTCATAGTTTCAGTGATATCTCCATGTAATAACTCTTTTGCTTCTTTTACACAAAAAGTATAATCTTCAATGTATTTTAAAACTTGGTCTGAAATTTATTTACGAGTAAATAACAACGTAATATTATGCGTGTACCTTATTTATTTTGCAAAAACGATTAAAACCAAAGCAAGTTTTCGTTAGTATGTACAAAGTTGTGTTTATTTCTTAGTTAGAGTTTGCAAAGCTATTAATATTTACTGTAATGCGGATTACCCTTTCTTATTGAAGTATTTATCATTTTAACTACACTAAAATTATTATTTATGTTTATTCTCAATTTTATAAAGAGTTAGGGCTTGTTCCCACGGAGACATCCCGTTTTTTGCAGGATTAGTATACGATACGTAACTTAACATTAACGTTCACACGAACAACCCGTTTAAAATTAAAATCCCGTAAAAAATTGATCCATACGAATTTGTAAATCGAATTTCTATCATTTATTACAATAATATGAAGAGTGTTCACACCTGGATCCACTGGACACACGATCCTGGAATGCCGTGGGAACGAGCCCTTCAAATATTTTAACTACGTGAGTTTATACGAGTAATTTAATCCACTTTTACTACACATTTTATTGACAACCACTTGCGACTATAAATAGAAAGTTCACTGCGCTATTTTGTTATCAAAACACAAAGAACAAAGCATAATCGATTTGCAATATTACCAAATATATCTCGAAGTATGTTTTCATTTGATAATGTTGTTTGTCCATCACGAATTGCATCGCTCACAGCATCTCCCGTAACTTTGACTTCATCGTCATCTAAAACTTTACTTATAACATCGAACTCAAGGGCAGTGTCATCACCTTTTCTTTCGATTGTTTGATCTAACAATTCATCTTGTTTGTTTGGAGGTGAAGGTTCTTTTGCACTAGTGGTAGAAGGTAATTTTGGTTCTACTACGCTCATCGTTTCATTTTGTTTTTGTTTTGAGATGTCAAGATCTAGAATATCAATTAAGGCATCATTTGTATCAGCCACTATTACCTCAATTTGGCCAGCCGTGTCTATGTTTATAAGACAATGCAATAAACGTTGAGAAACTTCTGCAATAGAATCCAGTGTATTCTCGTCAAAACATTCTCTAAGATGTTCTCTGTTTTCTTTGAAATGTAGAATCAAGCTTGGTAATGTATCCTTTAAGTATGAAATCAACTTAACATGTTCTGTGCATACAATGTTTAACATTTTATCAGGGCTTAAAGTTTTCGTTTTTAACTCCTCGATTCTTTCAAGAAGTAAGTTTGCAGTTGACAATGAATTGGTATACGTGTCGTTTCGAGCTATTGTTGAAATCTCAGTAATAACCTTTGATGTGTGTGCAACTGTGTACTGTTTGATATTTTGTACAAGATTTTCTGTAAACACGTGAAATGAGTGTGAGTATCACTATGATTTGCAAATGTGTTCTGTATTTACAATAACTGTAACAACAAGCTTTGTTAAGGCATTGCATTTACCTCATAATAATGAGGTAAGTAGGCAAGAATATTAGGAGTGTATTTCTACGAGTATTATCTTTAGGACAGTGTTCATAGCTACCTATAATAAGAGAAGGTACATTATAATGTCTAGGTACTCTTGTGTCCAAAAAATAAAGTGTGTGTTTTATTTATGTAGAAAGTTTGTAACAATTTATTTTCAATACAAAAATATAATACCTTTGTTTATACAATATAATGTAATATTAATAATGATAATTTAAATAAACTAGGTATCTGTGGAAAGTAACTTATCCCCATAACTTACTACTGTATTAAAAATTATACAATAATGCTCGTTTATGGGCCTTATGTGCATTTAAACATTCATAAGTTTCGTGAGGATCTATTTAAAATTAACCATGTTATTACCCAAGGAAATTAGCTAATACAATGACATCGACCGCAGCTGAAACACTTATCTTTGCGTTAATTGAAGCAAGCTACACGTAACATAGAAATGTAAAATTACCAAGCGGCATCTTGACGATGTCTACTGGAGCACTGCTAGTTTTGGACAAAGATGAATCTTGCAAGACTTCAGATTGAAATACTTTAGCTTCATGAACTTCTAAAGCTTCTTGTTTACTTTCAGTTACAGATTCTTCAAAGCCCATTTTTGTATCTGTTGGTTCAATTGACTCGGACATTTGAATTGTATCCAACGTGGATTCAGTAGCCTGTTGAAGAGTGTTTTCAACTGCGACAACTTCTTGCAAATTTTGCATTTCTTCTGTCGTCTCTATCGGTTTATCGACGCCTGATAAATCAAGTTGACTTTGGGCGATTTTTTGGTCTTGTATGGTTTCCATAATTTCTGCAGGTTGGGTGGTTGCGACAGATTGGGTGACTTCAATAGGTTTGATAATTTCTTTAACAGTTATGACAGAGCTTTCAGTTTCAGTGGGTTGTCCTTCTTTGACAGCTTCACTTACAATTTGTACCTTTTCTATAGAATCTTGCTTAGTTGGTCCAAGGGAAAGTGAAGGTTCCATAGTTTCGACTTGCTCTGATTTTGTAGTTTCTAAATCCGATTTAACTAGCTCGGTTTCTATTATTTTTGACTCTATTGCATCTGAATTAGTTCCTTCTGTTACAGTTAGACTTTCCTGTTCAATATTCTTTACCGTTGCAATTTTTTCAATTAATGGTTTTTCCATGTAGTCAGCTTCTTCTAGCGAAATTTTAGCTTCAGTCATTGGCAGTTGAACACCATTAGTAGCCTCACACAGCTCAATGGCTACTACTTCACTGGTTTCAAATGGTTCTTTTAATTCCAAGCCCGCTTGACATATTTGAGGCACCGTTGTAATAAATGTTTCTTCGGCAATCTCTTGAGGTAAGTCAAATTTATCGACAAGAGTAGATTCCTTTGTTTCGACACTTTGCAAAACAATCTCAGCTTTATTTGTAGGATCTTCTTGAAGAGACTGAACAATAATATATTTTACTTGATCTTCACAAGTTTCAGTATCGGATGTTAGCTGTGTAGCAATAGGTTCATTTACTATTACAGCTTGTGAAATCTCTACATTCATAGTTGCTTGATCAACGGTTGTGGTAATTAAGTCATCGATAGATTCAAGTGACGCCATATCCGCTATATTTTGCTCAGATGTGACAGCAACATCCTGAATCTCACTCATTGAAAATGATTTTACTTCTTCATTGGTCGGCTCAGAAATTATGAGCCCTGCATCCTTACTAACTTCACTAGTAACAGCAACATTAATACCCTCTTGGGTGCTCAGTTGTACTTTAGATTCATCTACTACATTACTAATAATTTCAACCTCGGAAGCACTTGATGTAGCCTTTTCTATTGTTTGTTCTAAGAGGTCCGCTTGTTTTAATTCTTCAATCGGTTTTATCACAGATCCTGAACTAATGGTAACTGATTCCGTAACTTGTGTTATCTCTCCTGTGATAGGTGTAATCGTATCAATCGTATTCATATCTTCTTTTAGTAAATCCTGAGCAATACTTTCACCAGTTTCTTCCAAGATCATTGGCTGAGTAACTTCCATAACATTTTGTTGCACTATACTCACATCAATCTTTTGTTCTTGCAGTTCCATTGGCATGTTGGTTTGAACTGTTTCTAATGCAGAAACTTCCTCTGTAACTGTAACTTCTCCCATAATTTCAACACTAACATCTGATTTTTGAGATTCTTTTGACATCGACTTACTTTCATTTTCTCCTTCATCAGCATTTTCTTTAGGTATTGCTTCTTCAAGAGGTAATGGATGCTCAACTGTGATAGGTTCGTTTATTTCAGCTGTTACTATGACATCATCAAGTGTAACTTGTGGTTCTTGTTCAGATAGTGCTTGTGCTATAACATTAATCTGTTCTATAATTCTAGACTCTTTGAGATCTTCACCTTTATCTAACTCTGGTAACTGTTTAGTAACCGTCTCAGTGTCTAGTTTTTCAACACAGAGTGATGATTTTAATTCATCATTTGATTTCGGTACAGTAACTTCAGATTCCACAAGAATTTCAGCTGCCATATTTTCTTGCTGCACTATGTTGACTAGTGAATTCTCAACATCCGTTGGCGTTTTTAATGTTACAGTTTCCTGCACGACAATTTGGTTTTGATTCATTTCAGTATCAACTAAGAGTTCCTTGGCAGCAACAGTCTCCTCGACAACATTTTTTAATTTAGTTAGTTCACACAAAGATTGTTTTTCAACTGGTTTTATTTCTTCTCCAGGCTTACAGATTTCCTGCACTAAAGGCTCGGTTACCTTATTAACTTCTTTTTGGAGAATATCAACTGTATCATTCGTTGATATTTCTTGTTGAATAGGAGAAGTTACTTCATCCAAAGTCATGTCTTTTCCTAGTGTGCATTCTGAATCTACTGACTTTGTTTCATCTTGAATCTGCTGCTGCCTTTCAGAAGTTGGTGCTTGTTGAACCACCACAGGTTGTGTAGTAACTAACATACATAAACTACCACCTAACTCTGCAACTATTTCTTTCACTTTTTGCATGTTATGTTCTTGTAAAATAGGCAATAACTCAAGTTCGTTGTCTTGTAATTGAGTCTGTAATACATTCAGAGAATTTTGTAGTTTTTGCACTAAATTGGCTTGATGTAAACGCATTTCTTTTTGTGTTTCGTCTAAACTAACATTTTCTTCTTTATCTACGATAACTTGTAATGCTGCAATATTTTCTCTTAATTCGTTTGCTGCACGTAGCGATTGCCTTAACTCGTCTAAGTGAACACAATCCGATAAGTCACTGACGATTTGTGATATATCACCGGATATAAAAGTCTCGATGTTATGTAATAGTGTTTCTGAAACATTATGAAATTTTGTAATTTTGTTACAAATGGTGAGTGTAGAAGTTTTTATAAATCAGTTCAAATATTTAAACGTTACCTTAATGTAGGACAATTAATTTGGTAGGTATGTAAGAAAAAATTAAAAACAGAAAATGTGTAAGTCTTATTACCTACTTCTACCTTTACTCTAGTCTTTAACACGAATTATAATGGGAATGGAATAAACCTGAACATTCATAAACATACCTAGTTTCGGTTTTTCTTGATCAGCCTCAGTAGTTTCTGTAGCTTGTACCCCATCGGTCACACTATCTGTAATAGTAACACTTTCCAAAGCGATTGGTTTCGTTTCTTCGCTGATTGCTACGTGCTCTTTTTCAATTACTGTGCCAATTACTCCAACTGCTGATTCTGATGAAATAGTTTCGTCGGCTACTGTTTGTAAAAATATTTCAGACGAATTACCCTTAGCAATATTTTCGGATTCAACAGAGGATGTAATTGCTTGTTCTGTACTACTTTCATCGGTTTTCAATAGTTTTGTTTCTTCTGAAGTAACCGTTTCTGCTGTTTGTATTGCAGGGTGTTCAGTTACTGATAAACTTGATTTTGCTGCAGTAACAGAAATTTCACCTTCTTGAACTTCTTGTGACGCCGTGCTAACGACAGCTAAGTTGGTTTGTAAGTTGACAGTAACGTCAGCAACTTGCTGCAATTTATTTGTGTCGCAAACTGCCTCCAGCTTTTGAAAGTTCTCAAATATCTTTTCTTGAACTGTTTGCAAAGCATTTTGCAGCTGCTGCACCAGTTCTGCCTGTTTTGCTTCTTCTGTCACCAAGTCAGCGCTTCCGATATTTTCTTCGGTAATCTTTTCGATGGATGCAATATTTTCACGTAGTTCTTTGGCAATATTCACTGTCTGTTTTAGATCTTCTGTGCTTATTACAGTAGCTAAGTTGTCCAACGTTTCACTTAAATCAGTGCTTATTAGCTGTTCTATACTTTGCTTGAGAGTGTCTGAAAAAACAAAGTCATAGATTCAATAAACAGTATACATATTAATTATCATCTACTTAGGCCTACCTGCGACTGTTGAAAAAATAAGTTTTATAAGTTTTCAACAAAACTTACCAACTATAATATTAGCCTTTGCTTCATCTTGTCTGGCTGTCTCAGTGGTCGCATCTTCGGATATTTTTTCCTTTGATTCATCTGTTGCCACAGTAACTTTACTATCTTGAACTTCTTGTGACACCGTGCTAACGACAGCTAAGTTGGTTTGTAAGTTGACAGTAACGTCAGCAACTTGCTGCAATTTACTTGTGTCGCAAACCGCCTCTAGTTGTTGATAGTTGTCAAATATCTTTTCTTGAACTGTTTGCAAAGCACTTTGCAGCTGCAGCACCAATTCTCCCTGTTTTGCTTCTTCTATCACCAGGTCAGCGCTTCCGGTACTTTCTTCGGTTATCTTTTCGATGGAAGCGATATTTTCACGTAGTTCTTTAGCGATATTCACTGTCTGTTTTAGTTCTTGTGTGTTTATTACGGGAGCTAAGTTGCCCAACGTTTCAGTCATATCAGGGCTTATCAACTGTTCTATGCTTTGCTTGAGAGTGTCTGAAAAAAAGAAAATAATGAATTCATTATGCAGTTATTGATGTCGAGACTAAATTAATTCATTGTTTCTAGAAAAAAAAAGCATTTTATGACTTTTTAACAAAACTAACCTAATTTATCAGCCTTTGATTCATCTGGCCTGGCTGTCTTACTGATTGCATCTTCGGTTATTTTTTTCTTTGATTCATCAGTTGCTACGCTTGGAATGTTTTTACTTTCTTGGACTTTTTGTGACACCGTGCATACGACGGCTAGGTTGTTTTGTAAATTGTCAGTAATGTCAGCAACTTGTTGCAATTTACTTGTGTCGCAAACTGCCTCCAGTTGTTGATAGTTGTCAAATATGTTTTCTTGGACTGTTTGCAAAGCACTTAGCAGCTGTTGCACTAATTCTCCCTGTTTTGCTTCTTCTGTCACCAAGTCAGCGCTTCCGATATTTTCTTCGGTAATCTTTTCGATGGAAGCGATATTTTCACGTAGTTCTTTGGCAATATTCACTGTCTGTTTTAGATCTTCTCTGCTTATTACAGTAGCTAAGTTGTCCAACATTTCACTTAAATCAGTGCTTATTAGCTGTTCTATACTTTGCTTGAGAGTGTCTGAAAAAACAAAGTCATTGATTCAATAAACAGTATACATATTAATTATCATCTACTTAGGTACCGGCGACTGTTGAAAAAATAAGTTTTATAAGTTTTCAACAAAACTTACCAACTATAATATTAGCCTTTGATTCATCTTGTCTGGCTGTCTCAGTGGTCGCATCTTCGGATATTTTTTCCTTTGATTCATCTGTTGCCACAGTAACTTTACTATCTTGAACTTCTTGTGACACCGTGCTAACGACAGCTAAGTTGGTTTGTAAGTTGACAGTAACGTCAGCAACTTGCTGCAATTTACATGTGTCGCAAACTGCCTCTAGTTGTTGATAGTTGTCAAATATCTTTTCTTGAACTGTTTGCAAAGCACTTTGCAGCTGCAGCACCAATTCTCCCTGTTTTGCTTCTTCTGTAACCAAGTCAGCGCTTCCGATATTTTCTTCGGTAATCTTTTCGATGGAAGCGATATTTTCACGTAGTTCTTTAGCGATATTCACTGTCTGTTTTAGTTCTTCGGTGTTTATTACGGTAGCTAAGTTGCCCAACGTTTCAGTCATATCAGGGCTTATCAACTGTTCTATGCTTTGCTTGAGAGTGTCTGAAAAAAAGAAAATAATGAATTCATTATGCAGTTATTGATGTCGAGACTAAATTAATTCATTGTTTCTAGAAAATAAATAGCATTTTATGACTTTTTAACAAAACTAACCTAATTTATCAGCCTTTGATTCATCTGGCCTGGCTGTCTTACTGGTCGCATCTTCGGATATTTTTTTCTTTGATTCATCAGTTGCTACGGTTGCAATCATTTTACTTTCTTGGACTTCTTGTGACACCATGCTTACGACGGCTAGGTTGTTTTGTAAATTGTCAGTAATATCAGCAATTTGTTGCAATTTACTTGTGTCGCAAACTGCCTCCAGTTTTTGATAGTTGTCAAATATGTTTTCTTGGACTGTTTGCAAAGCACTTTGCAGCTGTTGCACTAATTCTCCCTGTTTTGCTTCTTCTGTCGCCAGGTCAGCGCTACCAACATTTTCTTCAGTAATTTTTTCGATGGATGCGATATTCTCACGTAGTTCTTTAGCGATATTCACTGTCTGTTTTAGTTCTTCGGTGTTTATTACGGTAGCTAAGTTGCCCAACGTTTCAGTCATATCAGGGCTTATCAACTGTTCTATGCTTTGCTTGAGAGTGTCTGAAAAAAAGAAAATTATGAATTCATTATGTAGTTATTTATGACGAGACTAAATTAATTCATTGTTTCTAGAAAAAAAAATAGCATTTTATGACTTTTTACTAAAACTAACCTAATTTATCAGCCTTTGATTCATCTGGCCTGGCTGTCTTACTGGTCGCATCTTCGGATATTGTTTTCTTTGATTCATCAGTTGCTACGGTTGCAATCATTTTACTTTCTTGGACTTCTTGTGACACCGTGCTTACGACGGCTAGGTTGCTTTGTAAATTGTCAGTAATGTCAGCAATTTGTTGCAATTTACTTGTGTCGCAAACTGCCTCCAGTTTTTGATAGTTGTCAAATATGTTTTCTTGGACTGTTTGCAAAGCACTTTGCAGCTGTTGCACTAATTCTCCCTGTTTTGCTTCTTCTGTCACCAAATCAGCGCTACCAATATTTTCTTCAGTAATTTTTTTGATAGATGCGATATTTTCAAGTAGTTCTTTAGCAATTTTCACTGTCTGTTTTAGTTCTTCTGTGTTTATTACAGTGCTTAATTTGTGTAATGTTTCTGTTACTTCTGAGCTTATTAGCTGTTCTATGCTTTGTTTGAGTGTGCCTGAAAAAAAAGGTCATATTGATATCGAGCCTCAATTCATGAATTGTACAATTGGTAAAAAAGTCATAAAACTAAACATACCTATTTTACCAGCCTTTGATTCATCAGTTACCACATCTTGCTGTGAGTCAACTTCTTTTACTGTAGCAGACTCACTAGTTTCACTAACTGCAGCAGCAGGCATGACTGTGTCCTGAATCGGTTTTTTATCGTCAACGAATAAAACTTCTTTGGCTTCAACAATACCTTGAGAAGCTGATTCTGCTCTAACCTTTTCACTTTCTAAATCACTTGACTGTTCTAAAACAATTGGTTTAACGGTTTCTGCTACCGCAGTGCTCTCAGCAGTAACAATGTCAAAAGATTTTACTTTCATGTCTTCAGAAATTAGAGCTATGGGTGCAATTATGGCTATCTGGACGCCAGTAACAGCAGCTAACTCATCTTGTAGTTGTGCAGTAATCTTAACGAAACGTTTTAATATTTCAGGATTCAACTCCGTAGCCAAATCTTGGGTGCTATCGAAAACTTGCACATGTAACGCAGAAATAGCATTTTGTAACTTGTGGGCCAATTCTGCGTGTTTTTCTTGTATCCTTAATTCTTGGTCTTGTATTGATACCTCTGATTCAGCTATAGCAATACTATCACGGAGTTCTCGAGCAATATGAACAGACTCTTGTAATTCGTCAATCTTTATTACTGCACTTATTTCTTCAACGATTTCAATCAATTCTATGTATTGATCGATGTGATGTAATAAGTCTACAGCCTTATCTGAAAATGTAACATTTGTGTATTTCAGTAAGTATTAATGTTTTGGATGCAACGAATAAGCAATAACACATAAAAGCTGGCTAAAAATGAACAAAAAAAAGCATAAAGACCTAAAAGATTTATAAAACAGTTATCTAACTTCGCTGATCACATACAACTCTGCTTTTATTTATTATCCTACATTTAATGCCACAATTTAATTACGATATTATCATAATTATCAATATTTTGCCACTGCTTTTTGTTAACAAAAGTTGACAAAGCTACATGAATCGCGTTATTTACAATTTCACCTCTCTGTATTAGCTTACTTGATTTCAGAACTTGACCTAACTCTGCCAGCAATTGATAAATCGTCAAAAATATGTGTTTTAATTTTTCACGCTCCGGCTGCGTTTTTCCTTCTAAATACTTATCGGTATTAAGACAATCTAATTTTGACAAAATACTTCGTAACAATATAACTTTTTCCGTTTTGATTTTGATAATATTTTCCGAATCTTCGAAATTAGTTGTCATAAGATCTTTTATTTGATTAGCCAGTTGAATACATTCATTAATGTCAATGTCACAGAATAATTCAGATGCTGCCAATAATTCAACTTTAATATTTAGGAAACGATCGATAGCATTTTCCAGTGAATCAATATTGGAATTGACATCTAGAAAAAAATTAGAATACCATTATTATGCTTGTTTAAAAATAAGAATGACTTAATATAACGATGTCTTACCTTTTGGTAACTTCTCTACACTTGTCACTTCAACTAAATCCGCAGAAATAATGCTATGCAGTGATTTTTCCACTTCTTCGATAGGTTTAGATAATTCTTTCAATTCTTGTACGGCAGGTATATTCTCCAAAGACTTAAAACTATCTTGTATAGCATGGATTTCTTTGTCAGCCTCCATGATTAGTGATATGTCTTCATTATCTACAGTTAATTTAGCCGATTCAATTTGCTGAACGATTTCTCTATGGATTTCGGACACAGCTTCTATCATTGATTCCGTGGTTGTGATATCAACAGACACTGATTTCTCTTCAACGCCCGATGTAACTTGTTCTTGAATATTCACTAGTTGACTGTGTAAAGCATGAAGTGGTTCCAACATTTCAGTCAACACGGCTTTTAGGGCACTATCTTCTAATTTAACTTTGACTTTTTCTGTCTTTGATTTTTCGGTGTGGCTCTCCTGTAAGATCTGCACACATTCAGAAAGACACTTCAAGATAATCAAATTTCTACCAGTCCCAGTTGCATCTTTATAATCTTGATGCTTATGTAGACAAGTAGCCAATTTCAATAATATCTCTTTAGATTGTGTATCCATAGACGTTGAGGCTTCCTGATCTTCAATATACTTAAGAACGTCTTCAAGATTTTCACCTATTAAAGCATTTTCTGCCTTTGACATTCGCACAGTAGGGAATTTCAATTCTTCGGTTATATCAGCTTCAATGTTTTCTAATACAGGTTTGACTTTTTCAATAATATTAATAAACTTAGATACAACTTCCTTAAAGTTGTCATTTACTGTTGCCAGTTGAGCTAGATTGTCACTAGCACTATAAAGTGTTGATTTTGGAGCACTGAAAAGAACATCAGACTGAGTAGCAACTAGTTTTAATAATGATTCCTGTATGGTTTTTAAATTTCCATCTGCTTCCAGGAAAAATATTTTCAAATACCCATCAATGTCATCAGAAAGTTGAAGGTCAGAGCGCTTCAATTTAAAATCTTTTATAATGTTTTGAAGAAAAGTAAATTCTTGAATAAGTCTAATGACTTTTTTATGACTCAAAGGCTTTGAAATTATTAGTCTTATTATAGTAAATTCACTTTTGCATGTCTTGAAAAAGTCTTCAAGAATCATCAAATCGGCAAGAGGTGTTTCTTTAGCTGAATCTTGTAAGACATTTACAGCATTTTGTAAAATGTCATCCATTTGCACAAGAGGTTCAGATTCTAATTCAACTGCGAGAGTTGATGTTGCACAAGAAGTAAGTTCAGAAGCTCGTGATAAATCTACAAAATCATACTGCTCTAATACAGCAATATTATTCTCAATTTCATCAATAGCTTGAATAAGTTTTGCTTCTTCTGCTAACTTCTCAGGGGTATGTGGTGTAAATTGTAATAGTTCTTCTTGCACAGATATCACCTTTTCAAATAATTCTTCAGTTATGATTTTGACTTGCTGAATTTGAATACCTTTCGATACATCTGTAGCATTTAGCAAATTATCAACTGTTTTTTCTAAAGTTATAACTTCCTGTTTCACGGGGACTTCAGTTGACATTGCTTTTGTGGTTTCAATAATACCTTTTAGGTTTTCACAAACCTGTCTTAATGCCTCTAGTTTATTGGATATTTCAATAGTTTTATCAGCAGTTTCCATAGCTGGGAATAAAGCTTCAATACATTTACCTAAATATTGCTTAAAATCTGTTATACTTTGAAGTACAGAATGTATTTTCTCTGTAGATATTTCTAGAATGTGTTCGTATATTGGAATGTTACTTGTATCTAAAACTGACAAACTTTGCTGAAGTTCTTGCATTGGTTCTGCAATAGCAGCTAGCTTAGAAACGTTGATAAGATTGCCTATGTCACTGGAATTCTCCATTACAAATGGATGGAGAATTTCTTCAATGCCAGTATGGAGTTCACCTAAACCTAAAGCTACAGACTTGAGGCTAGAATAATCGCTGACTTCTGATAGAGTATCCAGGGCATCAATAACTTCAGGATTTTGGAGAGTAGTTATGTGTTCGTTTAATGTCTGAAGGGCTTGCGCTGTTGCCGAGGGCGCAATTTCTTGTTCCAAAAATGCAACAGAATGCCCCACAGCTATTTCATCTGCTGTCGGTAGCACCAATCGATCAGAAGGAATGTTGTCAGCTGTTGTTTTAATTCCAGATATATCCTCCAACGTTGACATATCATCTACGCCCTCTACGCCAGGCTGTTCTTGAATCATTACCATACAACTTTGCAAGTTTTGTACAGCACTTGCAATGTTTACGCTGACGTCATAAGGAGCTACATCTTCACCATACTGAGAGATAACATCTTGTTGTAATATTTGAAGAGTAGTGTGCAGCTCGTGAAGTGGTTCAGCCATAGCGGACATGACCACAACGTTTTCTTTCAAACTTTCTATATTGTCGACGATCACTTGATTTAAAACTAATAGATTGTTATTTAGTTCCAAAAGAGGGGTAGCCAAAGTCTTAACAAATGAGACATCTGACATTTCAGAAATGTGTTCTTCGTCAAGTACGTCCGATGGTTTTGCTGATGCAATATTCCGTTTGAGTTCTTCTAAAACGGGACAAATGTTTTCCAAAATCGGTGTAAGACTTTTTTTCAGTTCTTTTGTAGTTTCCATTGATTTGACTGAATTAATGATAGCTATTGTATGATCGATATGTTCAACTACAACATTAGCTTTATTGTAGTCGTAAACTGGCGATGCAATATCCTGAACACGTTCAGATTCTAATCGTAAACTGATTTCTTCAGCATGATTGAGGGCTTCTTGTATGCTTAGTAGTGCGTCTGTTATATTAGTAAGCACTGAACAGTTCAATTCTGAATCGAAAATGTTTTTAATAAAAGTATCTTGAATAATTCGTAGCGTATTGTTGAGACTTGCCAAAGATAGAACATTATCAGAATCTATATTTTGTATAGATGTATTTAATCGGTTAACGGCGTCACATATTTCCATCAACGTAAAGTATTTTGGTGCTTCATTACTTTCAATTACATTTTCTAAGACTCGAGTTAAATTTTTGTGGAAAATAGCCATGTGAGTTTTAACCTCAGGCATTGGTTCTAAACGTGGTAGGCTATTTTCTAGTAGAATTAAAATTTGAGCCATCTTTTGAAGAACTTCCAATTTATTATCACTCTGTAAGATATCAAATGAACCTACGCTCTTTTCAATTGTTTTTATCTGTGAGGATATTTCGCTAAGATTACTTCTAATTGAAGTCAGCGCTTGCTTTAACAGTTGATCATCTTCTTCATTTTTCGTTTCAGTCGGTAATTGTTCAAACGAACTTCTTAGCTTTAAGACAGAATCCATCACAGTTTCAATTATTTCCGTGTTGTACTTGTGTAGCGACGTTGTAGATTCCTTTACAGATAATGACTCGATCTGTTCTAAAGCTGCTTGAAGGTCCTGGATTGAAGCTGACATGTCATTTAATATAACTTCGCAACTAGTTACCTTAGTAGCATCAGTCACTTTACCACTTTCTGCAGTATCTACTATGCTCAACAAAGAATTGAGCGGGCTTTTCAGTTCAAAGATCGCTTTTTGCGTATCCCTTAAATGCTTTGTTTCAATTGTGGCTTCCTCAGCTTTGATTTCACTTGCTTCGTTAAGAAGGTTTCTTGCCTTTATAGTATCACTCGAGAATTTTATCACATTATGTACGTCGCTAATCAAAGAATTGATTTCAGATAACGACCTCTGATCAGTAGTCAAGTAAGCTTTATCAATTATAGATGTAATTTCATTTGTGAAGTTTTTAACTTCTTCGCCACAAGTTTCAATAAATGCAACGCCGGTTTTCTTAACAAGTGTCTTGTTGTCACTTTCCACGTCTATACATTTTTCTATTATAGTTAGAGACTGTTGAAGGACTTTCATTGGTTGAAGTAGATTGCTAAATAGCGTGCTGCTAACTTCCCTAGATTCAAGAGCGGATTCTTTTGCTGCATCTGCTATACTATGAATTTCTGATAAAGGTTTTATCAAACTACTTATGATTTCCAAACTTCTGGATGCCGTAGCAGCAGACGACATTAGCTCAGATTTCAGAATAATATCTCTTTCAATTATTTGCACGTCGTTTATAACCTTCGAAAGTGAGGTGCTTATGTTAGTCATCTTTGTTTTGAATTCTTCATCAGTGATGGGTGTTTTTTCCACAACAGTCTCTGTTTTAATTGGTTCAGCCAATTCCAAGGAGGTTTGTGTTTTAATTGGTTCTTCTTTTGACTTATTGAAGGATTTTTCACTCCCAGAACTTGATCGTCTTGAGCTACGACTACTTCGGCGTTCCCGTTTTGGTTTCATAATAGGAGTTTCCATAGCAGTCTGCTGTTGTTCAGCCTGTTTTTGAACTTCATCTTTAAATAAGATGGTTTTCGTAACATCAGAGGACTCCTGACCATCTTCGAGAGACGGTTTGGATGATTTCGACTTAGGTTTTCCCAGGCTCTTTGCGCTGGCAAAACTTTCAGATATATTTTGGGTATCATCATCTCTTTTGTCTTCTGAGAGAGATGGGTCAAGGGACAAACTGTAAAAGTCATCAACACTTCTTTGTGAATCAGACTTCTTTCTAGCTACCTTTTTAGGCATGTCTGCCTTTTCATCTGATAATAATGCCATTGTTTTTTCTAGATAGTCTTCACCTCCAACATCTTGGTCAAGTGAAAGTTGAGGCGGGCCCATCTCATCAGCGATAGAAATATCTTCTACGTCTGCTTCCGTTCTTAGATCTTCTTCAGGTGATGCAAAGTATTCTGGGGAAACGTCAATGATGATAGCTTCCATTAACAAGTTTCCTGATGTAGAAGTTTCTTTAACAAACCTAAGTGGTGGCAGTTCAACAACATTATGTTCAGTTACATTTTCAGATAGTTGATCTGCATACATTTCAACTATCTGCAATGCCTCCTCTTCTGTCAAATCTGGTGTTTCGTATAAGGACACTGAAACTTCTTTGCCATCAAAGCTAAAGGAAATCTCTCCCTTGTCGTCAAGAGTGATATCCCCGACAGGAGTGTCATACATTTGCGATGTCCGCTCTTCGTGAATTGTGCTTAAAGACAAGTTTCTTTGTAAGGCTTGTTCTTCTGCTTTCTTCTTAGTCTTAGCTTTCATTGAATCATCAAAACCAAGGAGGGAGGCAGAACTTGCTGCTATTCCCATGCAGTTTTGAGCTTCACAAGTATATGTTCCGAGACAGCACGTGCCATCTTGTCCCGATATTATTCGGTGAATATCACCGGGCTTCAGCTCCTCTCCATCTTTGTACCATTTGAGCACTGGTTGTGGTACTCCAATAACTTTGCATTCTAGATTGACGGCGCCTTCTTCTGAGAGTATTGCTTGTAGGTTCTCCAGGAACCTAGGTTTCTTGTAATGCCTAGGAATTATAAGTTTTAGGAAACACGACGTGACGCTGTGGCCATAGTCGTTCATGGCGACGCACTTCCACTCGGCCTGGTCGAGGAACTCCAGGCTCTGGATGTCGAGGTAGAACCCTCCACGGTCCTCCTTGCCGAGGTGGCAGCGCGCAGAGTCGTCTACGGGCTGCTCATCGCGGTACCATTGTACTGATGGCTCAGGCGGAATAGCGACTGAAAACATAAAAAGATTGCGTTAGTAAGATCTTACAGATCGCAACGATAGCGCTATTAAACACTCATCTATACTAATATTATAAAACTGAAGAGTTTGTTTGTTTGAACATAGAAAGAGGCCCCTTTCTATGTTCTGTGGTTTGATCCGATCGTCAGCTTCGCAAAATTATTGTACTTAAACTTCACTCATGGATAAATTAGCGTATACCGATAACACTCAAACATTTATGGTAGCATGAAAACATAAACTACGAACTATTAGGATGAATTGTGGGCCGCGTCTTCGTTCATGGCATCTATACCTACTATAAAAATATCGGGTCACACAGCACACGCGCAGAGCCATCGTGTGTATGTCGTCTAACTAAATCAATCTGGATCCTACCTTTAATTGTAAAACGGAATGGTTCATCGATCTTCGCTTCAACGCTCTTCAACCCTTGTATGAACTTTGGCGCTTGGTTCTTTGAGAAGAGGTGAGCCTTCTCCTCTTCGTTGAGCTGGTTCTGTATATCTTCCACCGTCAGTTCTGCTGAACTGCTGGCCTGCCCCATGCAGTTTCTGGCTATACAGCAGTAGGAACCCAAGGAGTTGGTGCCGGTGAGCTGGTATACGTCGCCAGGCTTGAGTTCCTGGCCGTCTTTGAACCAGCTCAGCACTGGGGTGGGGAAGCCGACGACTTTGCATTCGAAGGACACGAGACCTTCTTCTGTCAGCACCGCTTGCAGGTTCTCCATGAAGCGAGGCTTGCGATAGTTCTTTGGCACTGAAAAAAGGAAAAAGGATATACAGGCTGTCCCAAAAAGTAGTGTCAAGCTGAAGCCCAAAGGTATAGCATCAGTAGGGCTATCCGAATCACACCCATGTATGTTCCGTGTTTTTTTATAGTTTTCGAGTTAAGATTGTTTTCAATTTCTGTGTTTAGGCAATTTTTTGTCACTGTGGCGCGAACAGATAGAGATACTTACACGAGTGATTTTTTTTTTTATTATTAGATGAATACTAGGCCTAGCTGATTCAGAAGTATTTACATCCATAACTATCAAAAGTCGCGGTGATTCGGGTAACCCTAGTGATGCTTCACTTATGGTCACAATGTATAAAATATGCGCCAAGTAGCGCCGCCCGCGATTTCGTACGCGTGGATCCCGTTTTACCCCCTTAGGGGTGGAGTTTCGTAAAATCCTTTCTTAGCGGATTCCTATGTCATAACATCTACCTGCATGCCAAATTTCAAACCGATCCTTCCAGTGGTTTGGGCGGTGCGTTGATAGATCACTATGTCAATCAGTCAGTTAGTCAGTCACCTTTGAGTTACATACAGGGTGTCCCAGAATGGGTGAATCAAACTGATAGAGTAGGTAGCTCTACTAATGTACTATCCCTAAAAATATGAAAAAAAAATAAAGCGCATAAGGAAACAAAACAAATATTTTTTGAAAAAGTGAAAATAAATCAGCTTTGCCTAAGTATCTGGCTATAATTGCTGCGTTTGGAGTTTATTTGTACTTTTTTCTTACTAATATTAATTGTACATGATCGCTTCGTTTATCTGTAAACAAACTTTTAAAAATAATGACTAGACATCGAGTTTAAGAGCACTTTATTTTAAAAAGAATCCGAACTACTTTTTTCTTTTTTTGGGATTGTACATTAGTAGAGCCTTCCTCAGTTTGATTCACCCATTCTGGGACACCCTGTATATTGAGTTGTATATTATTAGTTTCTGTGATCTGTGCTTACCATCCATGCTGACGTAGCAGGAGGAGATGCCGACGCGGCCCCCTGAGCTGGTGGCCACGCATTTCCACTCGCCCTCGTCGGGCCACTCCGCGGAAGGCACCTCCAGCAAATAGCCCCCGACCCCGTCTTCCACCACGTGGTATCTGGAAGCGAGCGATCATCAATAAGAATAAGATTAATTCCTATATTCATTACATGTCAATACAGGTTCTTTGTTATTAATAATAAGAGTACGCGCACACCGTTGATTTTTCGTCGGCCGATAGTTTAGTCGGGCAGTTGATCAGTATGGGCATGTATGGGAGTGCGCACACTACGCCGATTCGATTTGGCCGATTCTTCATACAATTTAAAATCGGGCACAACTACTCTAAGAGTAGGCGCACACCGTTGATTTTTAGTTGGCCGATAGTTTAGCGGGCAGTTGGTCAGTATGGGCATGTATGGGAGTGCGCACACTACGCCGGTTCGATTTGGCCGATTCCGACTTCATACAAATCAAAATCGGGCACAACTATCGGCCAAATAAAAATCAACGGTGTGCGCCTACTCTTAATGAGTTTTTTAAATGAAAAGTGTTGTAAGAAAGTTCAAATAAAAGAAGTCTATTGACGTGATTACTCGGGCATTTTCAGCATCAAGTCATGGTGAATGCCATATATGATTTATTATGTATTTTCCTCATCAAGCATGTAGAAATATTCATAATAGGAGGAGTTCCCCAAGTCTTAAGTTAGGGATCGATTTAGGGACGATACCCATTGACCAGCGCGCGTCGGAGCGCAATTACACGGCTGTAAAGAAAATAGTATTTTATTAACAGTTCTTAGGCTTGGTTGCACCATCTTACTTTAACTTTGAGAAACGTCAAAAATCTGTCAAACTCCATACAAAAAGCACCGGTTAGTGTTTTGTAACGGTTAAAATAAGGTGGTGCAACTCAGCTTTAGAGTCGTAATTGCTTACAACTGATTAACTGACGTTTCAATCCGGACGGATGCGCGAGCATGCGTCGGAAGCCGGTCGGCTCCGAGCGTATTCCAGCGGATACGTGCGTAGACAAGCGCATTCCACCTCATTTTTGGCCGAACAGACGCTGTGCTGCGCGCCGACACGCGCCGGTCAAGAATCCTGTCTTAGTCTCTCACCTCTCCCCAGGCTCGACCTTCCCTTCCTTGTTGTACCAGACGACGCTCCGCGGCCACGGCGGCACCACGATGTGGCAGGCCAGCGTCAGATGCTCGCAGATACGCACGAACTTATCCTCCAGCTCTTTGGTGAAGATCGGCGGGGATTCGGGTGTCACGCCACTGAAAGCAACAAAAAATCGTCATTAAGAACAGTGTAGATTTTAACCAATTATTTATAGATAGTAGAAAAGACGGGATTATCCCCACCTTTCGATCCCACCGCTGCAACTTCTGTGTAGTCAGGATTTACAGCTTGACCGCCAATAAAAACTCAACCAGTGAAGGTGGAGTTTGTCCCGGGGAAATTTTGGTAAAGACATAAAAACAAGGTCTTGGATAAGGTAAATCAAGTTACTGTTGGTAGAACCTAAGCTAGCTACACTCATATTGCCATTTGACGTTTCAAAATCGTTCTAGTTCAACTATAGCAATGATACCTGGATATAGGTCTGGCTGACCCCTCCCTGCTGCGGCCTACGACGTGGACCTTGGATGAGGAGTAGGCGCGGCCCATGCAGTTGACGGCCTCGCAGGTGTATGTGCCCAGGGAGGTCGGGTCCTCCGCGTTGGCTGTCAGCGCGAACACGTCACCAGCTTTGATCTCTCGGCTATCCTGGAATTAAAATATATCTAAATTAGTTACATTTAAAATTTTTAGTGTTAGGACTCCCACTCGGCATGGGGCACACTGAAAACCAGTTTCGCGGCCTTGAGTGGGATCCCATTTCGTTGGGCATCGCTGTGCGACAGGATAGCACTGCTCAGTACCTCTAGCATGAACAACTTTCGTCTTCGAATCGTTTGCGTACTCGATAAAATTCGATACTCAATCTTTGAATTAAACGATAACGTGACAATTTTGATTCTCAAAATAAGTTTCGTGCAATCACATCTCATACTAAGTTCACTTTACGACACGTTCACAAGGGCGCTGTTACAGTAGTTTCCTTACTAAATCTTTTGATGGCGATTCGAGTACGCAAACGATTTGAACTCGAAAGTTTTTCGTGCTAGCCATACAGTTCACTTTCTCTTCCAATGTATATTTACAGTCATGTACAATCAATAGTACTATGGTATAGATGAATATGACTAAAGACCAAATTAATGCCTGCCAGTGTGTTACTTCTTTTTTTTTATTTACCTACCTTTTTTGTCTTTCTTTGTGTGTTTTGTGTGTTTCTTTCTTTTTTTCTATTTATCGTTGCTAACGGTGTGCCAGTCGTGCGTGACTATATTAATATTATTATGTAGAATGTAGATAGTGCCACCCACGAAGACGCGCCCCACCAATTTTTTGTCGAGGGAAGCGCGGGATGCGGGGAGTTTGATCCCGAGCGTCAGTCGCGAAATTATTGGGATCCCCATTCGTATGGAACCCCACTGTCACCCCACACAGCATATGCCGTGGCCCACGGTGAGGAAGGCCACGACACTGGTTTTCAGTGTGCCTATATGGGCCACCCTCAAATATATACAAACCGCGCTCAGTGCGATTGGATGAAGATGGCGTAAGTTCCTATTTGTTTCAGGACTGGAGGCTGCGTGTCGGAAAACCATAAGGTGGACTGACGACATCATAAAGGTAGCAGGAAGGTGCTGGACGCAGGCCGCTACCAACTGGGCAGCATGGATAGCATTGGGGGAGGCATATGTTCAGCAGTGGACGTCCAATGGCTGAGATGATGATGATGATGATGATGAGTATGCCTGTAAGGTCTATTTACCTTGAACCAGCGCAGCACAGGGGTGGGGACGCCCACCACCTTGCACTCCAGAGACACGGTTCCCTGCTCCGTCAGCAAGGCTCGCAGCTCTTCCACGAACTCCGGCCTCTTGTAGGCTTTGGGTACTGGAATTTTAGATTTAAATCAGTTATAAATTTCATCTTTCAGCGCTAACTGACTCATGTCAATCATGATTCATAAAATAAAGGGATCACTCTTTATTTTATGCGTCAACTTTCTTCAAATACACTAATCCTCAGATCAAAATATTGACCTTTAAAATACGCTAATTATCCTATTAACACGGCCCACACGAGCTTTATGATGTAGAAATAAAAAACCCACACGCCTTGAGCAGATTAGAAACTGACTAATGCCTATTACCCTCAACTGCCTTGAGTTTGACCTGCGGGAAAAAGTGAATTTCTCTTTGACTATGACATTGAACCATAACCCGATTAACCATAAGGAAAATAACTCCCTTTTCTATGAGCACGGTAAACTGTTTACCCGGTCGTGACCTTTGTTTTCAATCTTTACCCCCAGACCTGTAAGAGGTTAAGTAGGTGCTCGTTACTGACCCAATGGTGTCAGTATCGGGTTGCTGACATCCCCCAAGGCATCCAACCACCGATTCTGCTTTATCAGCATCAAGTTTTACATAAACAAGGCCCAGCTATGTGGAGGCAACATTAACCAACATAACCCAGCGGTATCAGTTGGATTGGCGAGTATCAATCGAACTACCACTCGCACTAACGACATCAGTCGTGGTGAAATCAACAACATTCGCAGAACGACAGAGGAAGACGTCCACTGGCTGTTTTCCTTCCAAAACAAAAGTCTACTAGGTACTAAACAGAGGCATCCTCCAAGGGCGTCCAACGAGCTCTCCAGTGTTGCACCTAGCACAGAATCAAATTTTACAGTTCAAGTTCTAGCTATGGTCGCTCCCGCTCACCCAGCACGTTGAGATGCGCGGAGCAGCTGGCGCGGCCGCCGGCGTTCTCTGCGGTGCACGTCCACCGGCCGGTGTCGTCCACGCTGACAGCCGCGATGTCGGCGCACCAGAACGTTCCGTCGCGCACAAGCGACACCCTCTCCGCTTCCATCAGCCGGCGCTCGTTGCGGTACCATATTACCTGAAACGATATTTAGGGAAGATTATTCGATGGTGATAAGGTTAAAGTTAGTTAAATATTGAGGACCTACATCTGTGAATTAAACATAACCCTAATAGAAAAGGAATACTTTGAAAGAAGGTCTGGGTATTTTCTATGTGTAATGTGTATTTCACAACAAGAATATCCGTCGTTGTTCCTACTGTAGTACAAGCTTGCGTAGTTTGGGACTAGATGGCGCCCTGTTACATTCTCAAACGATATCCTTTCATTCATGCAAAGAACATCATGAAATAAATTGTGTTCGCGTATAGGTTTCCTAGTTTAATAAAGTTTAGTCCATGTTAAGTTCGAATGTAATAAATTGATTGTTTAACTTTTAACAATCCTAAATTACTGATAGTAGGTAGGTACTATCCAAACACAATATTGTTTTGTTTACGGAGTAAAGTTACTCCCTACTCGGTTAAATTCATTCAATATTTCCTATTACGACGACTTTTTCAGGACAGCTCAACTGATGAAGCTTAGTAAAAAATTCAGGACGTTTTTCAAATACATTCTTCGATTTTTCACTTGAAAAATACTTACTGGAAAATCCTGCGAATAATTTATTGCTAGTTTATATACTAGTAATAGTTCGGTACTAAAATAATAACGTCTTGTTCGCGTTCCTGTGCTCTAAGAGAAAATCATTTAAGGTACATTGGCCACACCAGAAACACATTTATAAAATTAAAACTGATCCCACAATGGTCTTGTAGGACGCGAGAATAGAGTACAATCAAGATTAAAAAAATTAAAGGTAAAGTCAAGAATACAACAGAAAAGGGTTGGAAAATGTTATACTGGTAATTTGCAAGATTTATACCTACATAACATTTTTGAAATGATTCGTCATCACGTCCATTGTCAGAGCACGACCTTAATATTCTAATTTGTTAGACTCAAATTGCGGATTTGGCTTGATTTTTGATTGATAAAACATTCAAAATTGAGGCAGCAATGGCTAATCATAATTATAATTTAAAATTAATGGCATTATATCCATTCCATATCGAATAGTTCCCATTTCTACTACAAAGAATCAAAGTTTCTAGTTACATTTTTAATCAAGCCATAAATCATTTAAATAGTTACAGTTATTCATAACGACTCTTTCTCGAGAAGAATATTATGCAATAAAGATTTTGAATTTGAATGCGACGAGCGAGGCAATAACTTTCCATGTTTACATTTATTGTCTGTCTACTACAATGGCGGATCCGAATACTTTGATTCGGATGTGCCCAAAATAAACGGTTAGGTCAGCACTACATTCTTGGCTTGGAAGTCTTGAAGGTAATAGTTTTCGTGAGTGCGTAAATCAGCTTTATGACAAATCCGTGTCGCGGTATCGTTTTGACAGCTAGTTCAAACGAAGCTGAAACGTTAACGGAGCGTAACTGTGCATTTACGTAAAAGCTGACAGAAAGCTACTTTTTCTCTAACTCAAGTCAAACGCTTCACGAACATTTGCTGTGTTTTAATCATTTAAGTTTCAAAAATTAGGTATTCGGACTTTTAATGGAAAGTGCATAAATCTGTTTCGTCTTTGTTAGCGCGTGAAAACTGTGATACCGGATTGCATATCAGCTGGAATGAAAATGAAGTGCAAGTCGAGCGCGACTGGAGTTGAAACGCGAATGAATTGAAGATTTTACCAATTTGTGCAATCGGAGCCCAGGGTCGAGTCTAGGAAGGTAATTTATCAAAAGTGTCTACTTTTGATAAATTACCTTTTTAAAATTTAAATCTCACAATAAAATTGCTCAGATGGAAGAGCAGTCGGCAAGCAAAAGTCGTAGGTTTTATTTCCCGCCTTAGGCAGTTCGATTATTTCATTAGTTTGAGATTTCAGATGCAACTCTTAACGTTTAAAAAATGTAATAACCATAGCTGGGCACCGTTAATCAAATAGTTAACTTCGTTAATCGTTAAACCGTTAATAAAAAAATTAACTTCGTTAAACGTTAAAACGTTACATTTCGCAACATTTAACGCAAGTTAACGTTAATCGTTAATCCGTTAACACATGATAATAAAACGAAAAAAATAATTGTATGCCAGGTTCAAATAATTTCGAAAGCTTGTATCGCGCATGGAATTTATTCCTCTTTTTTTGCGCTACAAACTTTCGAAATTATTTGAACCTTGCATAAGTACAATTATTTTTTTCGTTTTAGTACAACTGCATTTCAGAATAAAAGCTAGTTTTTAAAGAAGTTTTTTAATTATATTATTATAATTTTATTTTACACTTTTTAGGGTTCCTTAGCCACTTTTAAGTTGAATTAATTTTGTTGCGTAAATGAGTTAATGTATCCGCGGCCTTAGCGCCTGCATCGAACTCGATCAGCAGTTGAATGTTCGGCGTGTGAATGTTTTTATGTACCCACTTTTGTGTTCGCGCGTTTACATAGTTAATATTTTTGTTAAATTGTATTTTCTCTGTAAGTGATTTTTGTAATCTTTTGAGAAAATAAATATCTTAAACCATAAATGTCAAAAAACGGAACCCTTATAGATTCGTCATGTCTGTTTGTCCGTCTGTCCGTCCGTAAGTCACAGCCATTTTTTTCCGAAACTATAAGAGCTATACTGTTGAAACTTGGTAGGTAGATGTATTCTGTGAACCGCATTAAGATTTTGATGCAAAAATAAAATAATAATAATAAATATTGGGGGCTCCCCATAGGCCCCATACTTAGATCTGAAACTCAATTTTTTTTTCATCAAACACATACGTGTGGGTTATCTATGGATAGGTCTTCAAAAATGATATCGAGGTTTCTAAAATATTTTTTTTCTAAACCGAATAGTTTGCGTGACAGATGCTTCCAAAGTGGAAAAAAGTTGGTCCCCAACTTCTAAAATATAAAATAAGAAAATGAAAAATCTAAAAAAAACGTATGATGTACATTATGTACATACTATAAAAACTGCCAACGAAAATTGTTTTGAACGAGATCTAGTAAGTAGTTTTTTTAATACCTCGTATATCGTAAACCGCTTATTACCGCGTAATCTTTCATATAAATAGTGAACTTAAAAAAACCTACACTGAAAAGTAGAAAAATAAGTAATTATTTTTCTACTTTTCAGTGTAGGTTTTTTGGAGTCGGTTTTTTTTTTATAAAATTTTACTTATTTCTTGCTTTTTAGTTAACTAATTATTACCTTGATGTTACCACTGAAGGTAGGCAGTACATTGAGACCATATTCTTCATGTCTACTGTAAAATAATATTCCCTACAAAATACAGGTTACCATATAGGAAACCTAAAAAGACCTTAAACCGTCAGCCCACCTTAAAAACTTGAAAGAATACAACTGTTGGTCTATTTGTAACTATAATATTTAAAGAATTATCCTCCAACTCCTAAGCATTAAGGAGTTGTACCTACCATGACCAGTTCATCATGATGAGATGATGAATATCTGATGTAAACACTTGAATAACTTTAGAAACTATACTTATCTATTTAAAATAATTATCTTCCAACTCCTAAGCATTAAGGAGTTTTACCTTCTATCATCAGCTCATCAATATGAAATGATGATTTCCAGGAGCAAATACTTCAATAACTTAAGAAAAAGTTTGAAAAACGATGTACGTGCCTATAAAATTTGAGGGTTGCCCTCGATTTCCCTAGGATTCCATCATCAGATCCTAACTTGGTGACAATGGGACCACCTCAGAAGTGTACCCTATCGAACAAAAAAAGAATTTTGAAAATCGGTCCACAATTGACGGAGTAATCGGTGAACAACATACATAGAAAAAAAAAATACATACAGTCGAACATATAACCTCCTCCTTTTTTGAAGTCGGTTAATTAAAAAATATATCACAAATCAATGGTACGGAACCCTTTGTGCGTGAGTCCGACACGTACTTGGCCGGTTTTTAGTAGTATCTCAATCTCAGAGCCTTGGTTCAATTACAATAGGTACAATTTAGCACCAAAGTGCTCGAAAAGACAAATCCAGCAAACCCAAACTCGATAAGTTTCCACCGTTTCGTTTAGGAATTCCTATGGCCACCTCCTAATTCCATCATCAGGACCCTGGACATCATCTAGTACTAAAGTGCTCGAAAAGACAAATCCAACGAAACCAATAAATTCGATGCGATGCCGCCGTTTCATTTAAAAGTTTCTATGGCTGAACTCCATCATCAGACCAGCTCAATGGTACCATAACATTGCATTGTCATCGTACTTACATAAGTATACCAAATTTCAGCTGAATCGGTTGAGGAAAACTGGTCTTAAATTCAGTTGCAAGAGTTATCCCACACATACTAAGAAGTGTCGTTAGTGATCTGGTTACAAAAACTGTTGTTTTGGGTTCTGGAAGTTCTGGGAGCCCGAACGTACTTGTCAGAACGCGTTTTTCAGCGTGCCTGTTGTATCTTTTTGGTAAATAGTAGGTACTGGATTAACGATTAACGGACTTAGGATAATTTAACGGAAGTTAACGAGTCCGTTAACATTTTTTAAAGTTAACTTAAAAGTTAATCCGTTAATAGAAATGTTAACTTCGTTAATTAACGATTAACGAATTAACGAGTTAATGCCCAGCTGTGGTAATAACTGCATACATAGGTATACATTTAAATCTCACAGTTTAAAAATCTACACTCAACATCAAATAAACCGCACCTTCCGCAACGCGAACTTTAAAGATTTTCTTCTGACACAATCATGGTGCCCCAACAATATTGGTGTTATTTAAAAGCCCAATAAATATCCTTAAAGAAAAACACATTTAATTTCTGAATAAATGATTATCATATACCATAAATGTGACTCGAAAAGAGACCTCACTTTGGGCTCACCTCTGGGATCAATTAGACCAAATTTTATGGTTATAAAACCAAATAATGATCACACGTGTCCTCTTTAACAGATGCATACCGATTAATCCCAACTTAACAGTTTTACAGCCATAAAAGTTGGCTCAAGCGTAATAGCCTA